TGAATTTGAAAAACTGATTCAGATTTATTAAAACACCTTGACATATTTTTTAACTTTTCACAGATTCATGCTGTGGGCAGTCATCCATGATTTAATCTTTTTTTGCCTCACTTTTTTTTGTTTGGTCATATTCATCCCTGTTGATATCTAAAATTGGAGTTCAGGGCTGGGGATTTAGCTCAGTGGTTCCGGCACCTGTCGTGCAAGTGCAAGGTCCCGAGTTCTATCCCTGGTACCAAAAAAAAAAATTGGAATTCATTAATTTTTTTAACATATATCATGAATGTACCATGATTTATCCATTCTGTTTTGATGGACATTTGGATTGATTTTACTTTTCAACTATTATACAGTGTGGCTGAGAACATTCTTACACATATCTCTTGCTGCACGTATACACCTGGTAGTAGAAAGCCAGAGAAATTCACACCCACCAGAACGCCTACAATTAAAAGATTGAAAATGTCAAGGTCGTGGAACAAATGAAACACTCACACATTACTGGTGAAAATGTAAAACACTACAACCACTTTGGCAAATCATCTGATCATTTCTAGTAAAGTTAAACATAGACCTACCCTAGGGCTCCAGCAATTCCATTCCCAGATGCTTACCCGAGAGAAGTGAGAGTGTGTGTCCACCAAAAGACTGGTATAAGAAATTCATGGCAGTTTTATTCATAACAACCAAAAACTAGAAACAACTCAATGTCCAAACATGGAAAAGAACAAATAATTGGTGCAGCAACATAAGCAAATCTCCAAAACATTATGGTGAGCAGAAGGAGCCAGGTACACGTGAGAACAGCACACATATTCACAGGAAGTGCAGGAGCAGGGACATTGCACCTCTGGAGCCACAAGTCAGAGAAGTAGAGGAGTGGCTAAAACACAGAGCTAAGGAACTCCTGGGATGATGGAAGAGTCCTGTGTTCTAAACTGGGAGGTCACATCGATGAGCACATAGGAAAAAGTCATCAGACATTGTATTGAAAGATCTCTGCATTTTATTATATGTGACTTAAACTGCAAAAAAGAGGGCCCTTTAAGCTACTTGGGAGTCTGAGATAGGATGACTACAAGTCTGAGCCCAGTCTGGGCCATCTATTTATATATTTATTGGTTTTTATTTTTATTTTTTGAGATGGTCTCACTGTGCATTTCAGGCTGACTTTTTTTTTTTGGTACTGGGGATTAAACTCAGGACTTTCTGCTTGCAAGGCAGGCAGGCAGTGGAACCACTGAGCTAAATCCCTGGCCTTCAGGCTGACTTTAAACTCACCATCCAGCTCAGGCTGGCCTTGAGCTTGCAATGAGCCTCCAGTTTTGGCCTCTAGAGTGCTGGGATTACAAGCATGTGCAAGTCTGGGCCACTTAGCAAGATCCTATCTCAAAATAAATAATTAAAAAGGCTAGGGATGTAGTTCAGTGGTAGAGTGCCCCTGTATTCAAGCCCCAGTACCACAAAAAAATGGAGGTGGGGGGTTGTCCCAAGTGGGGAACAAAAGTCACCTGAGTGAGTTTTAGGGAGAAAATGAAGTGGTACATTCAATCCTGTTGTTGGGGTTTGGCTTAAGTTTTAAATCTGCTTAGTATGACAAGTAGACAGAACTACTTTGGGTGAGAAACCATTCCTTTCTACCCAATCCTAAGAGGGGAAACAACTTGAGAATGTGTAGGAAGAACCTGGGAAATCATGAAATAAACCCAGAACTGGGGAAACTTTCTGGTCTCCCATTCTTTTAAGACACCATATTTTCTGTGAGGAAAGTGTTTTTAATTTGTCTTAAAGCCACACACACACATATGCACACACCTACAGGGGATATACTCGTGTCCATTTTAAGTAATGTCAAGTTATCTTCCAAAGCATTATACCAGTTTCCATTGCTACCCATGAGTCACACTGTTCCGTGTGTGTGTGTGTGTGTGTGTGTGTTTATTTTACTGGGGGGGTTGAACCCAAGGCCTTTGCACTGAGCAGTAGCTATCTTACTTTTCTTGTTGCTGAGACAAAATAACCGAACACCCAAAGTTAAAAGGGGAAACCGCCGCCTGCCTTGCAAGTGCAAGGACCCAAGTTCAATCACCAGTACAAAAAAAAACAAAACCAAAAAGGGGAAAGGTTTATTTCGGTAATCACCTGGCTCTAAGGCATGTGGTACATAGTAGAGGGGCAGCAGTTCATGGTAGACCACAACAGTGTCTTTCTGTCCCTTTTATCTTATCTAGACTGCTGAGGATTAGTGCAGTGTCAAACCAGTCAGTGGACTGATTTAGTAATCACACATCCTTAATCCCAGCCTTACACACTCTAGATTCAGCCACCTCTGAAACAACCGTATGACTACGTGAGGCTTTGTGTGTGGGGGGGACATCTAGACACAAACCATATGAGCTAGTAAATTGCAATCCCCCTGCTTCAGCCTCCCAGAGTGCTGGGATTATAGGGATATACCACCACACCCAGCAGCGCCTCACTGTTCTTAATGCTCCACATTTTCTCCAAAGTCTTGGCCCTGTGAGTGTTTTAAACAGTTTACTCCGAAGATCCATTTTAAAGTTGAAATCAGGTCATGACACATTGTTTCTCAGAACCCTCCCATCAGATTTGTAATAAATCCTAATCAAGCCTCCCAGCTTCCCCTCCCAAACTGACCTTAATGCTGTGCTTTTTCTTTCTTTTTTACCTTTTCTTTACATTGCTGGGGATGGAACACAGGGCCTCGGCCACACCCCTGCTCCATACTATGCTTTTAATAAGCCAGTCTAGTTTCTTCCTAAAGCTCTTTGCATTCCTTTTCTCCTCTCCTTGGTCCCTGTCATTTCACTGTACAGCACATGTTAATGGCCTTTGTCATTGTGTTTGTCCAAGACTGTAAGCTCCATGTGGCCTGGACTGGGTTTACCCTGTGTCCCTGGGTATCTTGGGCAGCAGAGGCGGGGGCTGATGCCAAAGTGTGCACCCTGTCCTCAGCATTTTACACTGGGGTGTGCATGGGCTTGTCGTGAATAACTAGAGTAAAAGGGAGAGACCTGGGTAGGCAGTGGGCCACAGGTGGACATGAGACATGAGGGCCCGCTCCGGTGACTGCTGGGATTTTTAATGCACGTCCAAAGGCCTTTCATGCTTTTTCCCCCTCCCTGTGCCTCCATTTCACCCTTAACACAAGTTGAGCAGCTTAAGCTCCCAGTAACATCCTAGATATGGGGTTCCCAGAGCAAGGGCTTTTGCCAGTGACTCACCTCCTCTGCTCATCCTGAACATACTGAACTACGGATTTTCCTCTCTCCAGTAAAGCAGTCCAGTTATCTGGGATGCCCCTGTGCTGATTTAGAATCCCCTGGAGCTAGTGACGTCCCTGCCTGAGATGTTTCCTCTGGAAGCCTCTTGTGTCAGCTTCTACCCAGCCCTGCCTTCAGTGTCACAGTGGAGCTGCTACCCATCAACCAGATCTGTCCAACTGCGGCCCCTCTGTCACTTGTCTGGTCTGCAAAATCCCTGCCTCCCAGGGATACCTGTGCCATAGATGGCTCTCCTCCAGTCCAGGAGGCTGGGAGCAGGACCCTGCAACATCAAGTGCTTTTCCTTAGCATGGAAATAGGCAAAGGAACTGGCCCTGGCTTCCTCTTTACACTATTCAACCAAAGGCCACTTGTCCATCATAATCTGCTAAAAGGCTACAGAGAACACTGGAATAAGCACACTGAAGTCAGTGCTGCTGGGGCCTGGGGGAGGCATGTGGTGCAGCTTCATGTGTGACCCTGGGAAGCCAGTCTGTGTCTGTCTTCCCTCTCCCCTCTGAGCCCTGTGTAGCTCTAGGAGCACCAGGTTGCTTTCTGTGTGCTGGCCCATCCCAGGCTCTGGAGTTAGATGGTTCCATGCTCACAGCTCACCACCACTCCTGAGAGCTTGACTTTGAGGGAAGCCAGCTCCTTCTCTTCTGTGTGCATCGTCTCCCCCCAGAGCGATCTCCTCCTCACTGCAGCTTGATGGTTCTGTTCTTCGATGGCTTTGTGGTTTGGCTTGGCTGCAGGTATCTGAGCTACCACAAGTAGAGGAGGCAGCTGAGTTTCTTGAACATACAGCCTCAGAGACCTGTGCATCGGCCAGCAGCAGCTGGTGAACCCCAGCAAAGCCTGCTTTAGCTTTCAGCCAGGAGAGGGAGCGGGCGCAGAGCTTTGAGGCCTAAGGGCTGGGTGAGAACTAGGGCAGGCCAGTTTAAGAGATTTTCAGGGCATGGATTCAGGCACCTTTCCTTAAGGCCAAAACCCAAACTACTATGAAAACGGCCTCTTCTCCTTGTTCTTGTCTGCCTGGGCAGTTTGGGGTCTCAGTCCCACCCGGGACCCTGGTATTCATTTCATCCATGAGATACAATTGAAGGCGACTGCCCAGAGGGTTGATTAATGGGCCTGGAGTCTGGCATTTGCGCCTCCCGACACAGTTAGCTCCCCACACACCCAGAGCAGGAAGGATTGTTCATGGTTCACTTGCGTTTGGGCCAACCCGAAAGTGTCTCCTGTGTAATCCACACCCGGGAGAGAAGAGGGGCAAGTCGCAGGACCTGGGCCCAGCTCTCCCTTCTTGCTGGGAGGCCCCTGAACAGGTGTTGGGGAGTCACATTCAGACCCCCAGGTTCTTCTCTGGGCCGTTTTCTTTTTAAGTTTCACCTGAAAGTAACTAACAAACCTGTGCTGAACCTAGTGCTTAAGCACGACTCTGGGGAAATCAATTTACTGTAGTCCTTGTTTACCTTCTGGCTAATAAGTGAAGATGCTGGGCTAATGTAGCCCTCTGAGGCCCGGGAGTCACACCAAGCATTCTATCTTTGGATGGTTAGAGGGGAGAGCCCTTTCTTTTGCCCACACTCTGATTAAGTGGGCCTTCTCTCCTCTACTGCTAGCTCTGTCCTCTCTGGGACTTGGGGCCGGGTTGGGGGAGAGCCTGTGTGTATGTGTGATTTATCTGCACATTCTTTTTCCTCTCTGCAATTCCAGGGTCATGCTGCGGCAGCCTGGCGCCTGACAAGTGAGTGGGAACCTGCCAGGAGATTACTGCTAGTGCAAGCTCCAGCAGGACAGACTGGCCTTGGGGAGTGGGGATGGGCAGAACAGCCACCGAGCCCAGGCCAGCAGCTCCAGGCAGGAGGCCTGGGCCCTAGTGGGGAGCTCTACACATGCTGTGATGCCCCAGAGGGCTTAGATGCAGTCCTCCACAAGCAGCAGCAGTTCCCCACCCCAGAAGACCCCACAGCAGAAGTAGGTGCTTCGTGACCCCCTGTACCACGGCAACTGGGAGTGTGAACACCAGGAGAAGAGAGCAGAACTCGGATGTGACGAAGTGGGGTGGAAGCCAGCACCAGGAGCTCTTGGTCTCTGCAGCAGTTCCTGAACGCCTGCAGAGCTTCACGTGTCCTTCTGTCATTGTTGGAGCCTGGCTCCCCTCCTCTGATACCCGGGGTGGGAAGGGCTCTTTCGTGGAATGTGGCTCCCTGAAGCTGTGTATGCTCTGTTGTGATGAGAGTTCCAGGGCTTTCCCACTGTGGGGCACGCTGAGGGGCTGCCTCGGCATCTGCTCATGAGCCACAAGGACCCCGACTGCTCCAGACTGGGCCTTTTCAAGCCACCAAAGAGGGGAACCTGTGGACCTGGCAGCCAGAAATCCCAAGGGACTAGAGGGCTGGCATGGACTGAACTCCCCCTCACTGGGGTGGCCGGAGAGGCAGAGCCTTTGTGGCCCAGCTAGTGACAGAGAAACCTGATGAAGCCCTAAGAGGGTCTGAAGTGGCTCAGGGACAGGGGAGCCACTCCTGCCAATGAGCTTTCTCCTTACGTAGAGGGAGGAGGGCTTGCTGAGGGTCCCCTGTGGCAGCACGTGCCCCTATGCCCTTTGCATGTACTGCCAGAACAGGCAGGCTGCGCCGTGGCCAGCCCCTCGGTGGACTGGGAAAGGAGTGGCCACGGTGACAGCCACCTGCCTGCCAGCACCATGAAGTGCTCCCTGCGGGTGTGGTTCCTCTCGGTGGCCTTCCTGCTGGTGTTCATCATGTCCCTGCTCTTCACCTACTCGCACCATAGCATGACCACCTTGCCCTACCTGGACTCTGGGGCTTTGGGCGGGACACATCGGGTGAAGCTGGTGCCTGGCTATGCCGGCCTCCAGCGCCTGAGCAAGGAGGGTCTCTCGGGCAAGAGCTGCACCTGCCGCCGCTGCATGGGCGATGCTGGTGGCTCCAATTGGTTCGACAGCCACTTTGACAACAACATCTCCCCCGTCTGGACACGAGAAAACATGGATCTCCCTCCAGATGTCCAGAGGTGGTGGATGGTGAGACTGGTGGCACTCCTGCCTCCCCTTTGTTGCCCTCTCCAGAAGCCCATCCCCTTGTTTTGGAGTCACTTCTAGAGCCCCTCTGTGGTTTGGTCTTTCTGTCTTTGGATCCCAGCGTCTTGACAAAGCAGGAGGCCTGCTTGACCAGAGCCATGTTATGGGATCACAGATTATTTAAAGGCAAAACAAGCTTTGATCTGAAAGTAGAGAGAGAACTAATATTTTTCGATGCCTGTAGGAGCCCAGCATAGATGAAAAATGCCTGTTGCCCCAGGCAGGTAGCACAGACAAAGGAGCAGCCCAGGTGTGAATGTGGGACAAATGAGGGCCATGCCAGGGGCAGGAGGTAGCCACCCCTCAGCCCCAGCTGGTGCCGCTGTGCCAGGGTGTAGCTCATGCCACTGCCTCTTTGGACCTCTTAGGAGACCTCAGAAACTAAATTTTGAAACTAATATTCTACTGGGGATGTGTTGGCTCAGAGTAATTATAAATACCTCAGGAGCCCCTCTTGGTTCTTTACAGTTGCCAGAAAAGACTGCTCTGGGCTGGAATGAGAACGCATTGCCAGCCAGGTGTGGTGGAGCACGCCTGTAATTCCAGCACTCAGGAGACTGAGGCAGGAGGATTGCCAAGAGTTTGAGGCCACCCTGAGCTACATAGTGAGACCCTATCTCAAAAAACGTCCCCCCTAAAAAAAAGAAAAAAGAGCATTGCCAACTACCCTCAGGGGCTAAGGGAAAGGAAGGTCCCCCAGTCTTCAGGTCGTCCTGGCACCTTTTTGCTTCTCTTACTGCCCTCGGCCTAGAACCTATCATTTCTGGAGCATCCTCTCTGGCCTGCCGTGCCACCTGGCTGCTGTCTGAGCTCAGGGTGGAACAGTGTCCTTGGGCCCACAGGCTGCCCACTTTCTCACTTGGAGGGTGGCTCCTGGTCCCTGGTTTCCCCTGTCAGAAAATGGGAACGGGGCAACTCCCTTTTCTCTTGCTTTCAGGAACATTGTGAGGATGAGCTTGTGTGACCAGGTTTATCAGAAAACCCCAGACTCAGAGGCCTCCAGGACCTACATCTGCAAATCAAGGCCTCCTAGGTGTCCCACAGACCCTTATCATTGCAGCCCAGAGCCCTCGAAGGTTCCTGCCTGGTGCTTGTAGTCACAGCCTTCATTTTACGGGAAATTCATGGCTCTGAGATGTACAAAGTCTGTCCATGGTGACAATCTTGGCAGTGGCCACATACAGCCAGAACAGCACTCTGGGCAGCAGTGAATGCTCGGGAACAGGACAGGCCTCCTGCCCACGGGGATAACCCAGACTTAGTTGAGATGCTTCCCTGCTTCCCACAGCCAGGCTCCCTCTCCAGCGAGATCTCTGGTCCTCTGAGAAGCTCCTGCCTGTCCACAGATTCATGGAGTTAGGGTTCAACCTACAGTATTTTAAAGTCCTAGCTTCTGCATTTACCAGTTGGTGGCCCGTGTCGTGGGCCAAGTGAAGTTTACTAAGTGCTTTTAAAATATTTGCATTAGAAACAGCTGAGCAGGGTCAGGTGGTGGTGGCCCACACCTGTAATCCCAGCACTCAGGAAGCTGAGGCAGGAGGACCACTGCCAATTTGAGGCCAACCTGGACTACATAGTGAGACCCTGTCTCAAAAAATAAATCAAATTCCATTAGTTACCAACATTAGAATCAAGATATTTCACATAATGTTCTATTTAGCTTCTCTTGTATAGATTGCAACAATTCGCTGAATTTGTCTCTCACGCTGTCTATGGCTGTCTGTCTGTGCCTCTGTCTGTCTGTCTGTCTTCAGTGCTAGGGAGCAAACTCAGGGCCTCACACAAGCTAGACAAATGCTCACTGAGCCGCCTCTGAATTTGCTCTTTTTGATAGGCCACGTGGCCTCCTTTACTGTGGGGCCCTCTTCTGTACCATACCTGTCACCTGCCTGGGCCTCATAACCACTGAACTCCTGCCCTACCTCATTTTATGTTCTTTGACTCTCAGTAGTTTGGATTCCAGCAGGTGGTGGGAGGTGTAGGGGACCAATTTTATTCCCACTGTATGGGTTTGAAAGGGTTCATGTGCCTCTCTGCCTTTCAGGAACTGAGGGAGTGGTCCCAGTATCCGGTGAATATTTCCCTGGACCGGGCCTCCGTGATCCCAGCTGTGGGGCTGAGTCTCAGGGGTGCTCCCTCAGGCTGACTGGGAAGGAGCGGAGGGAAGTTGCTTCATGGCACAGACCTGGAGGGGCACTTAACGTGTTCAATAGCACCTCGACCCTGAGCGGGTCAGAGTAGCCTATGCCTGTCAGGGTGCCTGTCTCTAAAAAGTGAGGCCCACTAGGAACCAAGTGGGAGGGGGTGTCCTCACTGTTCAGGGAGCCTCTGCACCCCAACACCCAAGGCAGGGAGGGTGGCTGGGGCCCCTCCCTCCTCACAGCTCTCTCCCGACCACAGATGTTGCAGCCCCAGTTCAAGTCACACAACACCAATGAAGTGCTGGAGAAGCTGTTCCAGATTGTGCCCGGCGAGAACCCCTACCGCTCCCGTGACCCCCAGCAGTGCCGGCGCTGTGCTGTGGTGGGGAACTCAGGCAACCTTCGGGGCTCTGGCTATGGGCAGGATGTGGACGGGCACAACTTCATCATGAGGTGAGCCCTGCTGGGTGGGGGCAGCCAGGACAGACCTCTGGGAGGGATTTGACTCCTTAGCCTTGTCTACTCAGTCCAGGTTGCCAGCTGCCAGAGTCACTAAAGAAGTGTGGCCCCCGAGCTTTCAGTAATAGCTGTGCAGGGTGGGCAGGTGGCAGTGTTTCAAATCTGAACTTTGCTGGAGGCCTGCATCAGCTTCCAGGGGTCTGAAAAAGCCCTTCTCCTTTGGAAAGAGCCAAACCTAGAGCCTTGGCTGATGTTTGGTAAAAACTCCCACCAGAGGCCCTTCCTCCCTGCCTGGTCCTCTCAGCAGTTAGGCCAGATGTGAGGACTCCAACCCAAACTAACATCATGCGTTATAGCAACAGGTGACTCTTCTTGGCAGACTTGTGGAAGATCGATGTCCTGAGTGGGGAGAAAAAGGAGCTGCCCCTTCCCTTCATCCTCATAAAGCTTTTAGATACACCTGTGCCCAGCCCCAAGCAAAGAAAAGCTGGGAGGGGAGCTGGGTGCAGGGGCCCATCCTTGTAATCCCAGCTACTCAGGAGGATCGAAAATTTGAGGGCAGGGCTGGGAATTTACCTCAGTGGTTCTGCCGCCTGCCTTGCAAGCGAAAGTTCCCTAGTTTGATCCCCGGTACGAAGAAAAAAGTTTGAGGGCAGCCTGGACAATTTAGGGAAACTTTTATCTCCAAATAAAAAATAAAAGGGCAAGACATATAGCTCAGTAGCAAAGCACTTGCCTAGCATGTCTGAAGCCTGGGTTCAATCCCCAGTACCACAAAAAGAGAATGGGGGATGGGGTTTGAAAGGGAAGGGGAGGGGAGGGGAAGGGGAAGGAAAGAAAGGAAAGGAAAGTTAAGTTGGGAGAGCATTCTGTACAAAGACACCAAACAAGGGAGGCCTGGGCCTGAACAGAGATCACAGGGGACTGAGGGGCCCCCCACGGCTCTTGTTTGGTTCAGACCCTGTGTCTTCTTTCTCTCCTGACTTGGCTGGGGACAGGGCATGCCACAGTGGAGATCCTTTACCATTACTCCAAGGTAGAAGAACCTTAAGAATAAAAATAATGCCAGTCATGGTGGTGCATGCCTGGAATCCCAGCACCCTGAGAGGCTGAAGCAGAGGGATGGTTCAAGCCCAGTCTGAGCAATTTAGTGATTTAGTGAGACTGTTTCAAAATAAAAGGGCTGGATGCAGCTCAGTGCAAAGGCCCTTGGTTCAATCTCCAGTACTGGGGGAAAATATGAAAAAGATAGTGCCAGGTGCAGAGGCATACATGTGTAATCCTGGCTACTCAGGAGGCTGAGACAAGAGGATTATAAGTTCAAGGCCAGCTAGACCTTGTCTCAAAAACCAAAGAAAGCAAAAAAGGACTGGGATGTAGCTCAAGGGTTGAGTGCTTGCCTAACTTGTTCAAGGGCCTGGGTTCAATCCCCAGTCCCATAAAAATTAAAAAAAAAGAATAAAGATACTGAAAACACCTGGTTTTTACTAAGCACCTCTTAGGATGAGCATCGCAGAAAGACCAGGTTTCCCAGGAGGTGGAAGGAAGGGCTTTGTCTTAGAAACTGTTGCTGTCTCCATAGCAACACGGAGGCAGCACTATGTCTCTGAGGCTCTCCACATTCCTTGCAAGACCTTCTTCATGTTGGGAGACGGTGCTGGGTGGGGGAGAGAGGAGGATACTGGATCTCACCCAGCACCCGAAGCCACCTGGGATCATCCCCATCCTCCAGTCACTGACGCTTCAAATGGGAGGGGGACATGATGGGAGCTGGGAGGGGCCTCTCTCTCCCCACAGAGGTTGCTGAGATTGGGGAATCAAGCCTCCCTTCCTCCAGGGTAGTCCCAGGGCGCCAGGGAACCCAGGGGAGCACTGTCAGATGCCTGAGCACTTTCACTGAGTGGGTGCTTTGATTAGGCACCTCAGTGGTGCTTGGGAAGTGCCAGGGCCAAGTTTCTCTAGCCTCAAAAGTCTTAGACACTTAGGACACATAGATGGAACCTGCTCAGGAGCCAGCTTGAGATGTAGCTTTTTTGAGTGAACTCCAGTATCACCTGTTGGTGGAGTAACCCAGGTGGTGGCTGGTTGGCTGTCGGTCTGTGGAAGCAGTCAGGTGGCAGTGGGGGTGACTCTGTCCACATCTTTGACTGATACTAGACTCCAAGGTGAGAGCCATACTGAGTTATAATGAGATGGTGGCGCTGCCTCCTGAACACCACCTCTTCCTCCTTTTTGGGGGGTGGGGGTGGGGCAGGGTCTCACTATGTAATTCAGGCTGGCCTTGACCTCACTTTGTAGCCCAGGTTGGCCACACACTTTCAGCGATCCCTCTGCCTCACCCTCCCAAATTCTGGGACTATAGGCGTGTGGCACCATGCCCATCTTGCCTCCTTCTCTAAGTCCCTAAGCCCTGGCGACTACTCCAGAGTAGGTGGGCTGTTCCTGCCTCAGCTGGCCAGCCAATACATCTGCAACTCCTACCTCAGTGCCTGGTGGGTAGAAGGCTATAAATATATGAATGAATGAAAGGAGGAGCAGCCAGATGTTGCTCCCTGAGTAAGAGTGTGTATCCACCCACCCTGCCTGTGTCCCTCCTCAGTGCTTTGGCTGCTGGAGGCACTCAGGACAGATGAGTTTCTGGAATATTGCCTCCAACTCCCAGAGATCCAGCTTATCCTCTGGCCTCTTTTCAGGACTTGACTTCTCCAGAATGAATCAGAGCCTCAAAACAAAATCCTGTCAAAAAGAATGCACATTCCATCCAGGTGTGGCATTGAACACCTGTAATCCCAGCCCTCTGGGAGGCTGGGGCAGGAGGATCACGACTTCAAGCCCGGCTTGTCAGCGACATTCCTTCCCTTTCCCGTGGAGACTATGAAACATCTTCTGGGGTCTCTTGTGTATTCATCTCACCCTTGTCTGCTGGTGCCTGGGCAGTGGGTGCGAGGGGAGTAGGGAAGAATAGGGTGTTGCCACAAGGTCTAGGAGAGATTGGAGAGCGCACTGACTCCACAGGATGGTGGAGAAGGCAGACAGTGGGGACCTTGGGCAGAGCCCAAGGTGCCTGGGCAGGAGGCAGATACAGACTGCAGTTCCCAACCTGTGCAGCAGTGCTCACAGGAAGGGGAGATAGCAGGAGGCAGTGTCTCTGCACCCTAAAGTCCAGGAGACTGAAGGACATTTTGTCTCAGGTCTTGGATCTGGGACAGGGAAGTAGGACATAGATCCCTGTTCTGGGCAGGAAGCCTTGCAAGATTCTGTAGGGAAGATTCTAGGCATCTGCTTGAACCAGACTAAAATTGAGTGGTTAGGAACAGACTTGGCTAGGTGTGGTGGTGCACACTTGTAATCACAGCACTCTGGGAGGCTGACAGGATTGCAAATTCAAGTCCAGCCTGGGCAATGACTTAGCATGACCCTGTCTCTAAAAAAAAAGAAAAGAAAAAATGAAAACCTAGGGATATAGCTTAGTGCAAAGGCCCTGGGTTCAGTCCCACCTAGTGCTGGGGCGGTGGGGGTGGAGAACAGATGAAGGCCAGGGATTTAGCTCAGTGGTGCCACTGCCTGCCTTGCAAGTGCAAGGTCCTGAGTTCGATCCCTGGTACAAAAAAAAAAAAAGAACAGGGCCAGCAATTTAGCTCAGTGGTTCCGCTGCCTGCCTTGCAAGCACAAGGTCCCAAGTTTGATCTCTGGTACAAAAAAAAAAGAACAGAGACTCACTTTCTGGATTCTGTGACCTCCACCCTAAGACTCCCTCCAGTGCTCCAGAGGGAAGGGAGAGAGGCAGGACACATGGAGATGTGACTGGAGGGCAGAGCATCCTGATAGCACACCTTGGACTCCGTGGCTCCATCTTTGGGTGAGGAGCAGGAAGACAGCGTGGACACCCACAGCACTTGAGTCTTCAGTGCAGCTGATGGGCCAGCCACTTTCAGGACCGAAAATGTTTGTACCAGTTTTACAGAGCTGGCACATACAGCTGGGGGAGACACCAGGGACTCGGCTCCTGAGGAGGACTGGGGTCTGGTCACCCCGTCTGGGTAGTCCTGATTCCACAGCTGGTGCTCAGGAGACAGGAAGGCCCTTCTACACAGTCATGGCAGAAGATAAGACCAAGAACTTTGTGTTTAGAGCAGGTTCACCTTCGATGTAGGTGCTCCCCAGAAATGACAGCCTGGATTGTATTTACCCAGTATTTTGTACAGATTGAAAGAATGAGATGCTTCTTGGCTTTTTGGTTTGTTTTTGGTTTTTTAAGACAGGGTCTCACTCTAGTTAGGGCGGGCTTTGAATTTCCTATGTAGCCCAGGTGGGCTTTAAACTTGTGATCCTGCTGCCTCAGCCTCCTGGATGCTGGGATTACAGACATGCGCTTTCAGGCCTGGCAACTTGAACCAGTTCTTTATTGTTTAATTGATTGAATACCCTTATTTATTAATATTACTATTATTATTATTTTTTTTGGTAACGGGGATCAAAATTGAGACCTTGTGCTTGTGAGGCAGGTGGCAGAACCACTGAGCTAAATCCCCAGCCCCTCTGCAACCATTTTTATAACCTAAATGTATAGAAATGGAATTGCTGAGTGAAAGTGTACATTCATTTGTATTTTTGATAGACAGCACCAAATTGTCCTCTAAGAATCTTTGATTGTTTGTTTTTGGTACCAGAGATCAAACTCAGGACCTTGTGCTTTCGAGGCAGGCAGCGCAACCACTGAGCTAAATCCCTGGCCCTTTCATTTACTTTGAGACAGAGTCTTGCTATGTAGTTCAGGTTGGCCTTGAACTCACTGTAGTGAGGTTGGGCTCAAATTCGTGGTGATCCTCCTCCCTCAGCCTCCTGAGTGCTAGGATCACAGGCATGCAACACCACTCCTGGCCTCTTGATCTGGTGTCAGTTTCCATGGCAGTTTCTTCTCATGTCACCCTCTCTTTCCTGCAGAATGAATCAGGCACCAACTGTGGGCTTTGAGCAGGATGTTGGCAGCCGGACCACCCACCATTTCATGTACCCCGAGAGTGCCAAGAACCTGCCTGCCAACGTCAGCTTCGTGTTGGTGCCCTTCAAGGCCCTGGACCTGCTGTGGATTGCTAGTGCCCTGTCCACCGGGCAGATCCGATTGTGAGCCTCTGCTGACTGGGAGTGGGATGTGGGTGACAGGGGCGCTGGGGGGAGTCTCCAGAAAGTGGTGAGGAGGGCACAGCTGTTCTGTGCCACTGCCTGCAGGGTGCCATCTGAGGTCAAGGGTAAAGCAGCGAGGAACCACAGGCCGGTGTTCGTGTTCTCTCCAGGAGGAGCTCCCGGCCGCAGCGCTGTGTGTTCTGAGAACTTTGTCCCCTCAGGTGTCCCAGCACAGCGGGAATCGTGGGAAATCCAGTTCACTGTTCTAAAATTTATTTTACTTCACTTTCATTGATTGATTGCGATAGTCTTGCTATGGAATCCAAGATGGCCTTGAACTTACTATGTAGCCCAGGCTGGCCTGGCACTTGTAACAATCCTCCTGCCTCTGCCTCTCAAATTCTGGGGTTACAGGCACGCATGCACCCGGCACCAAGTATTTTCTTTTCAAGAGCTTTATGAAGATACCTACTGTAGGGCCAGGGATGTACCTCAGTGGAGCCACGCCTGCCTTGCAAGTGCAAGGTCCTGAGTTCAATCCCTGGTACACACACACAAAAAAGATACTTACTGTAGCCACCTTTGTCTCACTACTGCTGTACAACTCACCCATTGAAAGTGTACAATCCAGTGACTTTACTACATTGCTAGAGTGGTGTAACCATCACAATTAATTTTAGAACATTTTTATATTCTGAAGATTTTCAGGTTGAGCGTGTAATCAGTGCCAAGGGATAGTGGCGTCTCAAATGTTCTTTCTCTCTGCCTGCAGCACCTATGCTCCAGTGAAGTCCTTCCTTCGAGTGGACAAAGAGAAGGTCAGCTCTGCACCTTTGCCCTCCTTTTCCGCCTCTCCTCTGGAGAACAGTGCTGGCTTAATCCCTGTGTGCCTGGTCCTGTGGCCCCGGGTGCCCCAATGCCCTTCCAGAACCTTCAGGATCCCCCCTGCTGCTATGCCTGACCCAGCAGAGGCCACAGGACCAAGGAGTGCTCACCCCCGGGCCCTAACCAGGGCCAGAGGCACTGGTAGAAGCTGCTAGAGCCTGGCCCCAGCCCTAATGTGCCTGTTAACGTTTTTTCCTCCCAGGTCCAGATCTACAACCCAGCCTTCTTCAAGTACATCCACGACAGGTGGACGGAGCACCACGGGCGGTACCCTTCCACAGGGATGCTGGTGCTCTTCTTTGCCCTGCATGTGTGTGATGAGGTGAGTGAGCCCATCTGCAGCAGAAATGGCAGGACCCGGGCAACAGGGGAGTGAAGCCGCACTTCTCGGGTCTTAGCAGAGGAATGTGGGTTTTTATAGGCAAAAACCATGTGGCTTAGATCTCCCCCATTTCTAAGCTGTAAAGAATTTAGCTTTGTACTTCTCAAACTATGACTTTCATGATTTTACTAAATCTGAAACCACTTCATTAAAAAGATAAATTTAGGGGCCGGGGATTTAGCTCAGCGGTTTCACCACCTGCTGCGTAAGCTCAAGGACCGGAGTTCGATCCCCGGTACCAAAAAAAAAGATAAATTTAGCCAGGTGTGGTTGCACAGCTCACCTATAATTCCGCACACACTAGGGAGGTTGAGTCAGGAGGATCCCAGCAAGTTTGAGGCCAGCCTGGGGTACACAGTGAGGTCAAGGCCAGCCTGAACTACACAGCAAGACCCTGTCTCAAAAAAAATTAAATTTACTGAATGATGAAATAGAATACTACTATCATAATTGATATTATTCCCCCAAAGAAAAAATAATCATAAATAGGATAGCAACTGAGTAGTAATTTGAGCTGGTTGACTATTTGCCACAACCGTTAGCCCTAGGCTTATTCTTTTTTATTTATTTTGGTTTTTTGAGACAGGGTCTCACTTTGTAGTTCAGGCTGGCCTTGGGCTCACAATGTAGCCCAGGCTGGCCTCGAACTTGGAGTCATCCTCCTGCCTCGGCCTCCAGAGTGCTGGGGTTACAGGTGTGTGCCACCACGCCCTGCTGTCCAGGGCTTATTGTGTTCAAAATGCAGGTTAGGGCCAGGGGTTTGGCTCAGTGGTTCTGCCACCTGCCTTGCAAGCTCAGGGTCCTGAGTTCGATCCCCGGTACCAAGCAAACAAACAATGCAGGTTAGTCATAAGAAGCACGGTTCACTAGTGGCGAGAGCTCCTGTGGCATGGGGATAGCGCTCATGCTTGGCAAACCCATTTCTGTAAGTACTTGACCAGATTTCAAATACTGAATGTACTCCATTTCACAAAAAGAAGTTACAGAACTGGGCATGGCGGTGCAGTCCTGTAATCCCATCTACTGGGGGGGCTGAGGCAGGAGGATCACAAGCTGAAGGCCAGCCGGACCGCCCATGTAGTAAGACCCTTTCTCAAAACCAACGAGACGAGGAAGTTGACAAGGGCTGGAGAGGAAGAACTGAGGGACCCGGGCTGGGCCTGACTGTGCCCTGCGTCTCAGAGGTGCCCCCGCCCTGGGCACTGTATCCGCTCGTGATAACCCTGTCGCCCTTCCCCTCAGGTGAACGTGTACGGCTTCGGGGCTGACAGCCGCGGCAACTGGCACCACTACTGGGAGAATAACCGGTACGCGGGCGAGTTCCGGAAGACGGGCGTGCACGACGCAGACTTCGAGGCCCACATCATCGACCTGCTGGCCAAGGCTAGCAAGATCGAGGTCTACCGAGGTAACTGAGCTGGGCTCTCCACGACCCTTCCCGCCCAGCCTCTTGGCCTTGGGGCCAGATCGCCCTGGGCGTTGCCAGGCAATCAGGAACCGTGCGGCCTGGCCTGGACCAATCATGCTGCAGTTCAGGGAACGCCTGCTGCCCTGCGCCAATCACAAGTCCCTGGGGGCCGGCCCGGGCCTGGCACCAATCAGCGCTGCAGTCGGGCGGAGCTTCTGTTTCTCCTAGCCAATCATGCGACTCAAGGAAAACTTCCTGCTCTGGAGCCATCTCCTCCAATCAATGGGCTTCGGAGGCGGGCTAGTGACCGGCCAATCCCCATCCTTTCTGCTTTTGATAGGATTTCGTTTTCCGCCTTTTGAAAGGTAGAGGCTGCTTGGTCCTCGATTGAGAACTTTTCTCGGGCTCCGGAAGACAAGCGTCTCGATCGCTTCCCAGCTGGTTCCACGGGGGCGAGGAGGAGGTGGAGGGGCGGCGTCGGGCGGGGTTGGTCTGGTGGAGAGAGTCGGTGTCCCCAGAGCCGGGAGCAGCGGCAGCTGCGCGTTTCCTGCGTCCGCCGGCCCGCTGGGCGAGAGCACAGCCACCAAAGAAACGCGGTCTCGGTGAAGCCGCCGCCCGCTCGCCCCGCAGAGCCTCTGACCAGGGCATTTCGTGTCGCGCCGGAAACCGGGGCATCGCCCCTGCCATGGGTTAAGCCTTGCCCAGCGCCCACTCCGTACGGGTGTCAGGAGCGGGGCGGGGGACCAGGAAACCTTGTCAGTCACACGTAAGGTGCTTCTCACGCGTGCTCTCTCCCCAACAGTTAACCCCAGCAGCTCTCCCTCCTCAGCCCGAGGACGCCTCACCAACCTACTTGTTGCTTTGGGGAAAAAAATCAGAAAGCTGCCTAGGATTGGGCCCCTGCTTCTCTGCCTGCCTGCCTGTCTGTCTTCCTGTCTCTCTCTGTCTCTCTCTGTGTGTCACACACACTGCACACATGTCTGGCTGGCCCCAGGGAGAGCAGCACGTTGGAAAGGAGGCTAGAGAAGAGCCCAGCTGGCCATGCATGCACCTTCACCCGTCACCCCAAAGAACAGGAAGCCTCTTGCTTGAGGGTGCGATTTGCTTTGGTCTCCTACTCTGGTTCCCCCGCTCCGGCTGCCCGCTCAGAAGAGGCCGTGCAGACCCTCTCGTGCCCTGCCCACCTCCCAGCTCACGGTTTCCAGGCCGTAGGGCTGGGAAGCGACCACCAGGGGTTCCGACTGGAAGCTGCTTGCCTGAGGAGACCCAGCCCAAGGCCCCAGAACTGCTGATGGTACTCTCACCTTCAAGGTTGGAAAATGTAGTCGGGAAAAGGCTTCTGTGAAGCTCCCAAATCAAGGAAAGGATCCCCCGTCTCGACAGCCTCGACACCAGTACTGCCCTTTTCAGAGCTGGTGCCACCACGCAGTCTCCCGGCTGAGGACAGTCACCCACGGGACAGTGCTAGGGAGCAGTGGTGTAAGGAAAACTGGGTATGAGTCTTTGTCTTCTCAGTTTCCGAAGCAGGAGGGTGGGCATGATGGGGCCCCACAGACCCTTTCTCAGGTCCCCGCCAGCGGGGAGCGGGAGGCACCAGCCCTTCTTGCCCGACTCATCTCAGTGCTTCCACAAGAGGCTGTTTGGAGTGTGAAGATGATAAACAATGCAATGATGCCAAACAGTATTGAGCAGAATAATTTATTTCTTTTTTGTTTCTTTTTCTTCTGTTTAAACCATTAATCCCCATTCTGGAAGAAGTAGGTCCCAGCACTCAGCCCAGGTCACCTTTTCTGCAATAGTTATTTAAACATTTTTTATTCCTTCCCCTTTCTCTTTCTGAATTAAAAAAAGAAAAAAACCCCAGAGTTGTTTGTTGTGAAATGTGTCCGATCGCTAAAGGCATATCTGAGCATCCCAGGTGCTGTGACCCGAAATGGCTAAGAATGCCGGAGGGGTTGGGAGGGGAGCAGAACAACTCCCAGATCCTTTCCCCTTAAACATGAGGAGCCTGGCTTCATGGACTCCACTCTCTGAAGTCCCCAGCCCACTAAATCTTTGGGACTGTGAGGATTTGGGTTAAAATCAACTCATTGGCTAGGTATGGTTGCTCACACCTGCAATCCCCAGCATTCTGGAAGGCTGAGACAGGAGCAGTACAAGTTCCAGTCCAGCCTGAGCAATGTAGTGGCTTAGTGAGACCCTGTCTTAAAAAAATAAAAATGTTGGGCCAGGGATTTAGTTCAGTGGTTTCACCGCCTGCTGCGCAAGCGCAAGGACCTGAGTTTGATCCCCGTTACCAAAAAAAAATTGTGAATTTAGAAACCATTCACCAAAGTAAATGCCAAATAGATCACAGAACTGAATGTAAAAACAATCTAAAAGTAGTACCTTTTTATATTTATATATATTTTCCCCCCATACAGATTTATAGTTGGTTTTTAGGGGGGGGGGTTGTTTGTTTTGTTTTGATTTTGAGACAGTGTCTTGCTCTGTATTCCAGGCTGGCCTTGAACTCAGCAATCCTCCTACCTCTGCCTCCAGAGTGTTGGGATTATACTCGTGTACCACCACACCCAGCTTGTAGTTGGTTTTTAGATTGAGTTTTGTGTTTTGTGTTTTTTTGAGAGGCTCTTGCTATGTAGTGGAGGCTCGCCTGAAATGGTGATACTCTTGCCTCAACCTCCCGAATCCTGGGATTACAGGGGTGCATGACCACACCTGGCTAAAACACTACTTTGTCTCTGTGGTCTGCCTCCCAGTAACCCACAACCAGTCTAACCTTGAGAAAAACACTGAATAAATTCCAATAGTGGATCATCCTAGAAAATCCCTGCCAATACACTACAAAACTGTCAGAGTCATCAATGACAAATGTGATAAATTGTCACAGCCAAGAAGAGCCAGCCTGGGCAACATGGTGACTTAGCAAGAGCCTATCTCAAAACAAAAATAAAAAAATTTTAAAGGACTGGAGATATAGTTTGGTATGAAAGCCCTGAGTTCAATCCCCAGTACCACAAAAAAATTAAAATGGCAAAATGTAATGTGAGATCCTGTAGCAGAAAAAGGAAAGTAGGAGAAAACTTCTGAATAAAGTGTGGAATTCAGTGAATAACAACCTATCAGTATTGGTTCCTAGTTGGAACACTAGGGAGTCTGAGGCAGGAGAACAGCTGTGTTCAAAGCCAGCCATGCCTGACCCAAAAAAAGTACATTTAAAAAATTTAAAACAATAATAATGACACTAACAAATAATAAAAGCAAGGAGTCAAAGTATCCAGTAGAGTCAACCAAAGAGGAACATCAACTTTAAACTTTATGGGAGCAATCACATGTGACACTTCAGGAGGCTGAGACAGGAGGATCGCAGCACGTTTAAGGCCAGCCTGAAAAGAGACTATGGGAGCAAGAAATAAAGTTTTATTGTGTCTTTCTACAGAAATTTGCATTTTTATTTACGGAGTTCAATAAAGAAGAGTTGGGCATTACAGGGTTGTCCGTAAGGTCAGGATTGGTGTGAGACACCGGGGAACCCAGGGAACCTCTGTCTTCAGAGGCCTGGTGCATGCGCACCAGCAGGTCCCCCTCCTGTTTTTCACCTGTTTTCCGAGCTGTCCTCTTGGCTCCTTGCCCTCTTTGCCTCCCTGGCCAGCCTGTCTGCCCTCAGGGCCTCGGCCAGTCTCCCTGGTTTTCTTCACTCCGTCTTTGGATATCTGCAGAAGTGACCCTATGGCCATGGAAGGATGGTCCAAGGAGAACAGCTCCTAGAGGCTGTCTTCGAGGAGCCGGGCCAAGGGCCAAGGGCAGACTCTGGACTGCTCCAGCCCTACCCTGGCTTCCCAGAGCCATCTTCCCTAAGGCAGTTGCAGAACCCAAGCCTTCCCTGCCCCGAGGCCTCCAGTTTGTGCCAAGTTGCCTGTGCTTCTCCAGGGGCTCCTCCATGGCCCACGCCTGACATTGCCAGGGTGGGCAGTGACCCTGGTCACCGGCCTTGAGAAGATGCAGCTGGTCAGCCTCACGGGGAGTACGGGGCCCACACCCACTCTCCACTTGGCCTGGGTGCAGACTCACGGCATCCTTTGGAGACTCCAGAACAGCGAACTCTTAAGCTTTGCTGCAGAAGGCTGGCTTCCAAATTTGGAGTGTGACTGGCCCACCATGGCCACTGAGTTCATCTTGCTGACTCCACTCCTGAGATGCAGCCAGACTGTGGCTTGTTAGGAAATTTGCATTGTTCTTAATACGAGTATAATTAAGCCAGGAGTGGTGACACATGCCTTAATCCCAGCACCTATGAGGCTGGGGCAGGAAGATTGACAGGAGTTCAAGGTCAACCTGGGCTACATACACGTATTTAGGTTTAAACATTTAGGATTGCTGGGTGTAGTGGTACATGCCTAGAGTCCTAGCACGCAGGAGGCTGAAGCAGGAGGCTTGACACAAGTTCAAAGCCAGCCTGGGCTAAATAGTTCCAGGCCAGCCTGTACTACATAGTGAGACCTTGTCTCAAAAAATAACAAAAACCCCATAAAAATCTCAGATTGGGGCTGGGTGTGTAGCTCAGTGGTACAGGACTTGTCTAGTTTATAGGAGGCCCTGAGTTCAATCCCCAGCTCTGCAAAGAAAGCAAAAAATCCCTAGGATTGCCATTTATTCTTTGATTCCTAAAATTTCTAATTTTGTCTGCCCATGGGTATCCTGACTGAAAATAAAGCCTTGCTTGGCCCCATTTGCTTATTCCTGTAGTATAAATACCTCCACCCTGGCCAGGGTTAAACTATCAATGGTTTAACAAGTGGCTCTTGTATGTGGGTACGATTACTGCTTTTGCCCAATGTACTTAGTAATTTCTTTGCCCTTTTTTGTTTTGTTGGGTTTTTTTTGGTACCGGGGATCAAACTTGGGTTCTTGTGTTTGCAAGGCAGGTGGCGGAACCACTGAGCTAAATCCCTGGCCCCATTCTTTGCTCTTTTTAAAAAGTGAAATGTGCCAGGCAGGATGGCGCATGTCTGTAATCCCAGCACTCACTCAGCAAGCTGAGGCAGGAGAATCACAAGTTCAAGCCAGGCTGGGCAACTTGGGGAGACCAAATCTCAAAAAAGGGGGGTGGGAATGGGGATGTAGCTCAGTGCAAAAGCCCTGAGTTCAGGCCTAGTACTGGGGGGAAAAAGTGAGGCTCAGGTGTAGCTCAGTTGTAGAGCACATGCAGTCCCAGTGAAGGGAAAAATAAACTTCCTTTTGCTGAGTATCCAAACATGCTTAGCCTTTTATCAGGCCATCCATAAACATAGTTCTATTTGGGGTGGATTTCTTTTCATCTATTCCTCAGTCTTTCTTACCATCAGGCCTCTTCATGGCTTTTGGGATTTTGGTTTTCAGGTTCACTTTCAAGGTTTTCCTCTTCCCGATTTTCTCTGCCCACAGTGGTTGCCCCTCCAGGTGTCCTCCATCCCCTCCAGCTGCTACCTACAGGCAGGTCTGTTGGCCTCAGTAGCTTCTGTCCAAGAAGGATTTGAGGGTATCAGAGCCAGGGCAAGCCCACAGCGGCCGTGCCACTCACCTTCGGCAAGGTGAGGTCCGTGCTGCCCTCTGTGGGGCCTGTCGAGTTTCCCCTCAGGCTGCAGCGCAGGACATGTCAAGGTGCAGGTCGCTTTAGGCAGGGGCTGCAGTGCAGGGATCCCACACCCTGGGCCAGTACACTCCTGGCTGGAGCACAGCAAGCTCTCAGCTTCGCCTTTGAGACACTGCTGGGATGACAGGTGTGCACCCACCAGGCCCACTTGCATTGCATTGTTGTTCCATTGCTAGTTCACAGAAAAGATCGCCCGAGTTTTGAGTCAGAGGGGCCTTAACTTGTGCCACTGTCTGGCCTCCCGTCTCCCTTTTCCACACTGCCTCCTCCGTCTTGCTGTAAGCTGCTCCCTCTCTGAGGCCCAACCCTCCAGCCACCCTGGGCACATACCTCCCTCAGGGACCCTGTCTTCACTGGACGCCACAAATATCTGCTCCAACACACAAGGCCACACAGCTCTGCCATGGGCTCACCCTCTGTGGAACCAAAATCTCAGCCAAACACGCACAAAATGATTTTTATTCTTTTCCGATGAGGGCCTCATGTTGCCCCGGCTGGCCACAAACTCCTGGACTCAAGTGACTCTCTTGCCATATCCTCCCATGTAGCTAGGACTATGGGCATATGCCACCATGGCCAGTTAATATTGTAAGAGCTATAAGAACTTAGAACATTTACTACCCAGGAGTCCCCTCTGCAGGAAATACGGGTTCATTTCTTAGAGTTCTGGGATTAAGAAAATTTTTCTAGTCATGACATAAAGTTTAGACTTTTTAAAATAAAATAGAATCTGGCTGGGTATGGCAGCGCATGCCTGTAATCCCAGCACTTAGGAGGCTGACGCAGGAGGATCCATCACTATGAGTTCAAGTACAGCCTGGGGTACATAGTAAGTTCAAGCCCAGCTGGAACTAGAGAGGCACTGTCTCAAAGAAAAAAAAATTTAAATTTAAAATATTGCTACTATAGAGTTGACAAGCTGGTAACAGTAATGGGTATTTTTGTTATCACTGCAATGAACATAAATTGCTAAAAACTTCTGGTATGGTTGACTGGCAATGTATTATGATTTTAAGTGTTTCCTCCTATTTGACCTAACTATTCTGCTTCCAGGAATTTATTATTTACTCTAGGATTCTCACCCAGTGCTCTGGGACAAGGACAGAGACATTCACCGTGGCACTGTGGGTGATAGCACAAGCTGGAATACCCCACCCCAAATGCCCGCCGGGACAGGTGCACGGTGGAGGGACACCCCCTCCCCGAGGGCAGTAGACCTGCGTGCTCCCTGTGTCAGCACAGCTGCGCTATGCTGACAAGTGGAGCAGCAGGCTGCACATAGCGTCAAGAGAACACTCACACTTGGTTTGTTGCTACAGTCCGGGGACTAAACCCCGAGTCTTTGCACCTGATAGGCAAGTGCTCTACCACCGAGCTACATCCGCAGCTCTTTTTAGTCATTTAAACAGCTCTAAGTTGTCTAGGCTGGGCTTGAACTTGCAATCCTCCTGAGTGGGCCACCAGAGTAGTCAGGATTACAGGTGTGTACCACCTCCCCTGACTGAGAAGTCACACTTTTCTTGTACAGAGGGCAATATGACAGAATGTCCAGCAAACTGGTAGCAATGGTGACCCTGGAGAAGGGTCAGAGAGCACTTTCAGGTTATATACACACAGAGTATTTTTAATGAGCATAAATTAGTCTAATAAGCAGAAAAATACAAATAAGTCATGATTAGTAAAGTGTTTCTCGTAACTATTAAAATTTCTTTTTTCTTTTTTGGTACTGGGGATTGAACTCGGGACCTTGCCACTGAGCTAAATCCCCAGCCCAAAATTTCTTATAATGAAAGATGCATGTAGCTAACTTCTGTCCCTATTCGTACAATGTATGAACTACATAAGCCATGAAAACCACCTCTGTGGGTAAGAGCCTACCCTGAGCCTCCACAGGCGGTCACTTCCTCTCCAAACTTACTCAGCTCTGCCACGGCAGGACAGCCTGTGGATCAGAACCATGGAAGTGGGCCAGGCGTGGCTTCACAGTCTCCGGAGTCTCCTGGGTGCCACTTGATGGGCCAAAGGAAAGGAAAGGCAGGCAGGCCCTGAGCCTCGAGGACTCACCCACCCCGGCCTGGCCAATCTCTCCAGAGGCTGGGATTCCCCCCAGATCGGAGGTTACCACAGATGCTCCTGAGACAGCAAGAGGGACACCGTCTGCCCAAGAGAGCCAAGGTAAAAGGGGTGGTGGGGACATCTCTTGTTTCAGGAGAATAACCCCCGAGGCAGGAAATTGTTCCCCACAGGTCCAGCGATGAGGAGTAAGTCAAGGCCTCTGCGCTCAACTCTTCACGCCATCCAGACAGCTGCACCCTGTCCTGCCAGCCCTCATGGAAAGTGTGGCGCATGTCACTTTAGGGGTGGAGGCTGGTCCTAACATCCTGGCCAGAGAGCAGCCAGAGGTCCTGGAGCCAGTCACACCAACTGCAAGCAGATTCAAAGGTACGCAACAGAATATTTTCAAAATGTAGTTTCCTGCTTTTGTCCTGTACTGTTACCACAAATTTTGGTCAAGTCCAAACATAATTTAATGAGGTAGGCAGTGTCTTCCTCGTGTCTTCGTCTGTGGTAACCGTCGAGGCTCGGGCAGAGCAGCCCTGGACTCCGTGAAGGGCGGTGACGGGACGAGGGCGGCACCAGGGACTGGGGAGCTTCTCAGTTGGCTATTTTCTCAATCTCATCCAAATCATCTGTGTCCAATCTTTCTATCTTCTTATCTGGGGGAAAGAGACCAGCACGGGCTTGCCATGAAAACGCAGCTCCAGTCGCCCCGAAAGGGACAGCGGCAGGGAGACAGGAGACAGAAGGCCCCACCTAGCCTTGGGACACCACTCCCTGGGTCACAGGGATCCTTCGTCTAACCACAAAGGCCTGGAGGGGAGGTCACTGGCACTGACACTCAGCGCCCCAGGCCCCCCAGCCAGGCCACCAGGTGAAGGCCCCACAGGTGCTCCCCAGAAGGTGGGGGGGACGAGAGGAAGGGGCAGGCACAAAGACGGTGGTCCCTCTCGGGGCCACAGGAAAACCCTCCTTTCCCCACCTGTTCCTCTGAAAAGGGCAGCAGGCAGAGGTGGCCCGGGACTCACTAAAATGCTCCTGGATCCTGTTGAGGATGTTCATGCTGTGCTTGCTGTCCACCATGTTCACGGCCAGGCCCCTCTTGCCAAAGCGGCCGGTGCGCCCGATCCGGTGCAGGTAGGTCTCGTTGTCCGGGTTCCTGTCCTTGTCCACAGGGAGATCAAAGTTGATGACCACAGACACTTGCTCAACATCAATACCTGCAGAAAGGGTCGGGTGCGGAACCGAGTCAGGGCGAGAGGCGACGTCCCCATCACCCACACCCCCACTCTGGGTGGAAGAGGAGGCTGGGACCTCTGGGTTGTGGGCACAGGACGGCACACACAGGCCTGTGGCACAGCTGGAGGAAGAGAGCAGACTCTGGCAGGTGCAACAAGCGCGCAAAACCAGAAAGCATCTCTGCAGACAGCGGAACCCATGATGCTGCCCGGAGCGGGGAGCAGGGCCTTTCTCAGGCAGGCAGAGCCTCAGCACCGCCTTTCACCAGGACAGGGCTCCTGGCTTCCGTTACACGGGATGGGGAGCCACTGCAGCCGACCCAGAGGGCACCGAGTGTCCTGGATATGAGGATTCCTCTCGCCACTGGGGCCTGGGACCCCGAGCCAGGCAGACCAGGGTTGTCTCTGCTCACCTCGGGCGCACACATTGGTGGTCACCAGAACCTTCTCTTTGCCCTCGCGGAAGCGCTCAATCACTGCAGCCCTCTGCTCCACCATCATCTCGCCACTCAGCAGAGCCACCTGGTGGCCTTCTTTCGAGAGCTCTGCCGCCAGCCAACTAGCTGTTTTGCGGGTCTGAAGCCAAGAGAATTCTTTTCAATGAAGATCTATACCAAAGCCAAGCGCAGATCCCACCAAAACATGGCTTTTCACGGTTAAAACACAAGCCCCCGATTCATTCAGTGAGCAGTTAGCATTCAAATTTCACACAGAATTTCAGCCACATGATTTGTTTGGATGAATTAACTCCTCTTACTTTTTCCTCTAGAAAGATTGTGCATTGAGCCAAAGATCTGCGTGTCTCAATAGTCCATATCCTTAATGTTTAACAATTATTTCACTACACACGTGTGTAAATACCAAAGAGTTTCTCTGGTGTGAAAAACTAAAAGTGTAAATAAGGTTCAAATGGTATAACTGATGATGTGAAATAGGAAGAAAAGGTCTAAAGGAGTAGGGGAAGTGGGAAGAGTAGGGGAAAGGAGAGAGGGAAAAGAAAATAATATGAGAAAAGGAAAAAATGGAAACAAAGTCTCTGTAAATAGGAAAGGGTGGAGGGGGTGAAGGGAGGGCAAGGAAATGGGGAAAAAATAAGAATGAAGATACATCATAAAGGTACAAGATCCCAATGATGAATGTAACCATTTTATACCTACAACGTACCAATAAACTTCATGGAAAAAAAAAATTATTTCACTGGGTGTTATTTAGGGGTTTTTTCCAAGCAACTTCTAAGAAGAGGGATCACAGAAGGCCTGGCTCATCACAAAGTCGTCCCCTTAAAACTCAAGAACCTGAGACCATGTGGGGGAGGTGGACGTGATTCTCATTTTCACACAGTGGAATCTGGTCCTCCTAAGCAGGTGGTGGGGCTGGCTGGGAGGGGATGGGCAGCCGCTGCAGGCCCCGCTGCTACTCACATGGCAGAAAATCATGGCCTGAGCGATGGTGATGGCCCCATAGAGGTTGCACAGAGCCTGGAACTTCTCATCTCTGTTGCTGCACAGGACGTAATACTGCTTGATGGTGTCCAGGGTCTCCTCCTCGCGCTTCAGTTTGATGATGTTGGGGTCTGGGACCACTTTCTGGGCAAACTGCCACACAGAGTCTTCGAAGGTAGCAGAGAAAAGCAGCATCTGGCAGTTCCTGGGCAGCATCCTGTAAGGCCCCGGGTGTCAGCAGAAGATCTGAAGCACGGTCTCCCCGGCTCAGATGGGCTCTAACCACAGCAGGCTGCCACGGGGCCAGAGACTCCGGGGAGGGGGAGGAGGCACAGGGGCGGCACAGGCTCCCAGGTCTCCGTTCACAGCCCAGGCTGGCAGTATGCTCAGAGCCGATGTGCAAATGACCCGCAGGGCAACGCTGCTGCACAGACCAGAGGAAAGAACCCCACAGAAGTAGGAGGCCTTGGCAGCTCCTCCCGGCCTGAGCTCCTACCTCTGAATGCGGATGCTCTGATCCTGGTGGCCCTGAGTAGCTATCATCACGTCGGCTTCATCCAGCACAAACACCTTGATCTTCTTGGGGTCAACGAACTTGAGCTTGGAGCACCAGTCCAGGACGGTCCCGGGGGTGCCGATGACAATCTGCTCACTGATCTTCTGACCTCTTTCCACTGTGGAGATGAGATGTTTGCTGGTGGTGTTTCTAAGGCAAGCCAGCTCTGGAAATCAAAGCCAGGCCTGTACTTCTAGGACTAGCAGAACAGAGTAATTCTAGATTTCAAAATATAAAAGTTCTACCCTTAAGCCCTCCCTGCTTTCTTCTACTGTGATGAGGATAGAATGACACCTGTCTCAGTGACCTATGGTCAGCATCAAGTTCTACACAGAGGACCCTCAGCAAGTGTCACTTCCTTTCTACTTTCTCCTATAATTTCACCTCACAGAAGTGTTTTTCCCAGGATCTTGGCACAGTGATTTTTTGTTCTGGTCTCTAGTGATTCCACTTGTGTAGCTAGTTTTCATAAATAGAAACTCTTTGATTTAAAAAACACTACAGTATTCTCAACTTGTTTCAACCAGTTTGCTGGGCTATATGGTGAGACCGCACCTCAAAAAAGAAAAAGAAAAAGAAAAACAAAAAACAGGTAGGGGAAAAGGAAGTAAAAGATCTATTATGTACGTGTACCAACTCCCCACGATGAATGTCGTCATTATATACTGCCAACATACACCATTAAAAATTAAAAATTTTAAAAATCAAGTATTAGTATTTCCATCAATCTCATTAGAGATGTTTATACACATGGGGAAACTCTCACTTAGTAGTAGCACTTACAAGTCTGACTTATGCACTACATTACTCTCAAACTCTCAAGCTGGTTTAAGTTGAAACTGGTACAACCATTTATCAAAATCACTAATACACATAACCTCTGACCAAGACTTCCACTATTAGACATTTTGCAATGTACACAAAATATGCACACAACACATATCTGATTAGTAAAATATGATGCATGCAATGGGTGACTCCGATAAAGCCTGAAAATGTTTAGGAAGTGAGGTGAAATAATCTCAAAAAATATATATATCACAGCAGTATATAAATGGCATGCACACATACTTATATACATATAATTAGCAGAATGGCAGAGCACAAGTATAACAACAACAATAATAACAACAAAAAGGTAGTTTCTCATGCCCACTGCCTGTCAGTAAAACAGAACATCTCACAATTGCCAAGTTAAATGCAGTGGCTATGTCAGCCCCTCGTGACGGCCATGGCAGAAAACACTCCAAGGCAGGCATATGCCTCACTTGGGCTGAGCCTGCTGTTTTGAGAATGCCCAATCTCATAATTACTGGATTAAGTGCTTTTGCTACTTCTGCCAAAATCCAGTGACTTTCTTCAGGAAAAGGTCATTTTTATTATTTGTATAGTGAAACTACCCTCTGGGGGGGGGGGGTTGTGGTTTTTTTTTGTTTGTTTGAGACAGGGTCTCGCTATGTAGTTCAGGCTGGCCTTGAACTGTCTATGTAGTATAGGCTTGAACTTGCTACAGTCCTCCTGTCTCAGCCTCCCAAGTGCTAGGATTACATGTGTGCACCATCATGCCCATTTTATTAACATGAGCTACACATACTAGGCAAAGACTACCACTGAGCTACACTAGTCTTAAACTAATAAATATGTACTTCTAAAGTTTTCAGGTTCTACTATAACAGCAACAGGCACAGCCTGCATAACAGAAACACCATGAGAGTGAGAGAATGCCAGGGCTCTAAAGTGAGAAGTGCACTCTGGACCATCAGGGCTGTGTCCCCCATGAGGGTGCCCCTCTTGGGTTCCTCTAGGCAGCATACAACTGTTGCCAATGTGCGTGAACCCACGCCCCCATCTGCCAGGAGTGCACACTGCAGTTCTGTCTTCACCGGAACTAGACACAGTCAGACAGATTTCTGCCTAGCCCAGAGGAGCTGGGTTTCCACTTCTCTACTTCCTCATGGACCAGTGAGTTTTGGCATCCTTTCCAGTTACTATGCTGGCCATCTGAATTCCTTCTGTGAAGAGCCAGTTCAACTGGACCTCCTTTGTTCATTTTCCTAGTAAACTGCTTGCTTTTTCTTTTGGCTTGCTTTTTCTTGTTGATGTATGGAAAATTTTTTACATACTGATAATCTTCTAATGAATTTCAAAACCTATTTCCCCTTCATTTTAACCCATACTTTCTCCATGACATTCTGCAGACCACATGGAAGAAAGAATTGGAGGGATTTTTGATTTTGATAAGAGCCAGTGAACTGTACATTCTCCTAGTGTTTTCTTTACTAAAGCTGGTGCTTACTGCTAAAGGAATCTAACCCCAACCTGCCACCCCTAGCCCTGCTAATCTAACCAGGTTCCAGAACTCGAAACCCTCTCTTCTTCATGAAGAACTCCAGATTTTAAGAATTCCAGGGACCAGGCATGGCGATGCAGACTTGTAATTAATTCTAGCACTATGGGAGGCTGAGGCAGAAGGATTACAAGTTCAAGCCTAACCTGGATAGCTTAGTAAGAACTTGTCTAAAAAAAAAAGGGCTGGGGAATGTAGCTCAGTGTGAAACCCTTGAGTTCAATTCCCAGTACAGGAGAAACAAACTCCAGGAGCACTGCAGAGTTTTCGTGGTTGAACAACTTAAAATCTTCAGACTGAAGAGAAGAGGGGGGCTAGGGAGTAGCTCAGTGGCACAGCGTCTGCTTGGCATGTGTAAGGTGGGTTTGATCCCCAGGACTGGGGGGTACTGGAGAGAACTGTAAACACATCAGCAAGTACAGATTATCCTTGTTTAATAACTGTTTGGAATTACGACCAGGCATGCCACTTGGACTTACGACTTGTCTTTTTTCGTATAGTTCTGTACAGCTTGTACCTTCAATGTCTTTTTTTTTTGGTACCGGGGATCGAACTTGGGACCTTGTGCTTGCGAGGCAGGCTGTGGAACCACGGAGCTAAATCCCCAGCCCCAGCCTCAGTGTCTTTTTTTGTACAATACACCTTGTTTAGGGCTGGGGATTTAGCTCAGTGGTTCCAGCACCTGCTTCAAAAGCACAAGGTCCCAAGTTCGATTCCCGGTACCAAAAAAAACCAAAAAACACCTTGTTTATACAGTACTTTAATTTTTGCTGACTGTACTGTACAGTCCTGTAGTTTTATGTTCTGTTATACATTACAGTACTGCATGAAGAGCTATGCAAATAAGAGCAAAGTCATCAAGTTGAAGTTTCCTCTGACCATTTCTTTATTCTAAATATTGTAATGTACACACTATATGCAATTCCTTATTTAGCAACCAAGTTGCAGGAATGGAACTTGGCTATTAAATGAGGAATGTCTGTATTTAAATAGATTCACTGAGAGCAATGTAATAGGGCTGGAGTGTCTGACTGAACTAAAAAGCTGAATATATCATCACATCTTCAAAATCAAACACCTAGCACCCTCCACCCCACTTAGATTGCAGCCCTTGGACTCACATTTATTGCCTCGAACAGCATAAGCGAGCTTGAGCTCTGGATAAAATCTGCCCATCTGCTCAATCACTTTTCCCGTCTGAAGCGCCAGCTCATATGTCGGGGAGAGGCACAGACACTGACGGAAAAATCAGGAAGAATGAATGGAGTAAGACTATAGGCCTGACCAGTGCAGCGAACCCAAACTACATCTTCTTCAACCAGGCCCACCTTTCTGTATGGGCCAAGCCTCGGGAGAGAGCCCTGCCTTGCTTAGGGCTGCTGCCGCCACATGAGCTCTACCTGGCAGGGCCAGGTGCAGGAGCCTGCTCTAAGGCTCGGTTTAAGAGCAGCTGTCAGAGGTCCCCTCCCAGGAGGGCAAGCCAGGTCCCCACATCACCTACCTGAGGGTGTCTGTCTGCTGGTTCCACTCGGCTGAGCATGGCCAGGACAAAGGCAGCTGTTTTTCCAGTGCCCGACTGAGACTGGGCGATTAGGTTCTGTGGGCTGGATGGAGGAAGGACAGAAAGGAAATGAAGACTGGCAAAGCAATAAAGCACGGAAACATTCATTCTGGGCGAGGGGACATTTTCCCTCTTTAAGCTTCTCTCTATCATCCCGTTTTTTGGCACTGAGCACAAATTACAAGAAAACTTTTATATGTCATTAAAAAAACAGCTTTAATATAAAAGAAATAATGACTGTTGTAGATGGCTTCACACACAACAATCCTCCTTCTGGACTCTAGCGCAGAGTGTCCTAGTTTTGTACCCGAGGGCCCCAGGGAAATCAGGAGTGCTGAGTACAGACTGAGACCGGTGCCACACAAGTCCCAAGTGCCACCTTCTCCTAGGTCATGTGGATACCCAGGACTCAGCTCCCTTTTCATGTTTACTTTCCCTATCTCTATGGAAATGTAAGTAACCAACCCACATTCAACTTCAGGTGATCCAGTGTCATGGGGATTGGTGGCCTTTTAGACATTAAAAAAAAAAATTCCAAAGAAACCCGAGGGAACGACAGCCCACCCAGGATGGAGCTCTCTTTGCAGCAGGAGAGAGAAGGATGGGAATGGAAAGGAAGAGTTTATGGCGTTCTGACTGTCAGTTGGGCCTTTGTTTTGTTTTTGTTTTTCAATTTGTTGGGAAGATGAGGAAAAAAGTAAGGAAAGAAAAGGGAAACAAGGAGAGTGGAAGAAAGAAGGGAGGGAGGCAGAGTGGGAGAGGGAGAAGGAGGAAAAGGGACTTAGGTTTTACTTGTTAATAAACAAGGGGTCTTCTTGGTATTGTTCTTCACATCCTTTCTGTAGGGCACAAAAATGTCAAAATAATTTTTTTTGGTGGTATTGGGATTGAACCCAGGGTGTTTGCACTAAGCTGCATCCACCCCCCTCCCTTTTTGAGACAGGGTCTCTCTGTGTAGTTCAGGCTGGTCTGAACTAAGAGGCCCAGGCTGGCCTTAAACCAGTGGCAATCCTTCAGCCTCTTGCTAGGTTTACAGGGCTATGATGCCACGCCTGGCCCCCAGCCCTTTCATCTTTTAAATAAAAAATAGTGTTATTAATTCTGATGTCTCCGGAGCACCAAAAAAAAAAAGGAAGGGACAAGATAGGACAGGACAAGACCCTTGCCACATTTCAAGGCCCAGGTTGAGGGCTGGTAGACCGGCTCATCAGGCAGTACAGACCCAGAGGCTGAGTCCGTCCTGGCTACAGGCTCAAAGAGGGACCAGCCCATGAGTTTGGCTGTTAGGCCTCGCTGGGAGGCTGCCTGCCTCACTTTGGGGCACAAAGGCCATGTATTGGAGGTGAGAGATCAGGGGTCAAGATCAGAGGTCTGGGCCATTTGGTTCTGGTTCTGTGGCAGAGGCAGCCAGAGGTCAGGGTTCCAATAAGGAAGCCAAAGCCACTCAGGTACATGGTCCAACAGAGGCCCAGGTGCAGCTGAGGGGATCGAGTTACTGATTCCAGAATGGAGTCCAATGGGCGCTGGGCCGCTCAGTCTTGGTGCTCGAACAACCCAGCCCTTTTATGAGACAGGGTCTTGCTAAGTTGCCCAGGTTGGGCTCAGACTTGCCATCCTCCTGCCTCAGCCCCTAAGAGTGCTGGGATTACAGGAATATACTACCATGCCCAGCTTCGAATCATTTCTAAAAAGCCAATTTTTAATATTACATAAGATAAAGCACTATCATCATCAGTTTTTTGTGTGAAGTGGGAAAAGTAAAAACTATACCCAAATCCATGATTCTCTCTGCAGTTGCCAAGCTATTTTCCGGAGACACGTCCCCCAAACAGTCCACCCTACACTGAGAAACAGTAACAACTGTTTGTGGTGACATTAGTAAGCCACCTTTGAAAGAGGTCACTTGGGTGTGCACTCACGGTTCAGCGAGCATCATGGGTAATGCATTCTCTTGTATCTTGGATGGTCGATTAAAGCCCATGGCATAGACTCCCTGGAGAAGTTGTGGCTTCCTAGGAGGAAAAGCAGACACAGGGTGGATTTTAGTAGCTGAAATTGTTTTAAGGCCTATAATCTTTTTTTTTTTTGGTTCTAGGGATCAAACTCGGGTCCTTGTGCTTGTGCAGCAGGCAGCAAAACCACTGAGCTAAATCCCCGGCCCTATCAGACATTTTCTAATGCCTTAAAAATGTTATCTAGGGCTGGAGATTTAGCTCAGTGGTTCTACCATCTGCCTCGAAAGCACAAGGTCCTGAGTTCAATCCCTGGTACCAAAAGAAAAAAAAAAAGCTATCTAAAACCAACTCAAGCTAAGTGTGGCAGCACATGCCTATAATCATAGCACTCTGGGCGACTGTGGCAAGGGACAGCAAGTTTGAGTGCAACCTGAGCAACTTAGTGACAGAGCAAGACTGTGTCTCAAAATAAAGGGGTGGGGGATGTAGCTCAATGTGAACGCTTCAGGTGCAAGCTCCAGTATCACAAAAAAATAAACTAAACCCAACCACCTTTTTAGGTTTTTGGTTTCCTGAGACAGGGTCTCACTATGAAGCTGAGGCTGGCCTTGAAGCCCTGACCCCGCGCCTCAGCCTCTCGTGTGGCATCACAGAGGTGTGTGGCACAACTGACGCGTTCCTGCTGATCTCACTCTGCGGTGACTACACTTCACCCAGTACAGCGTTTCCCTTCCCATTTCCTGGAGAAATTCATGCTCCCAATCCCACAAATCTGGTTGGTCTTTGATGCCAAGTGTCCCCTGGATATAGCAAGAGTAGTTTTTATTAATTAATAGCACGAAACAAATTAGGAAGTGGGACTTCGAGGTGTATCTGTTCTGCAGTGCTGAGGACTGAACGAAGGGCCCAGCGCATGCCAGCCAAGGGCTCTCCCACTGAGCTACAGCCCCAGCCCAGAAGCACAGTTTTTATCTCTTGGTATAGATGTTAAAGTCGAACCAGTCTTTCTTTATTCTATCATCCTTCCAAGCCAGCTGTGCAAATATGCAGGACAACCAAGAGGAAACAATACTGATCAAGCCAATTTCTAGAAGCAGCTATAGACTAAATGGGTTAGGGAGGTTTCATATCAGAATGAACTTTACAAATGCTCAGACTGCTACTACATTTAGTGAAAATCAACAATAGAGACAAATTTGCCAAGTGTGGGAGTGCCCCACCTGTAACCCCAGTTACTCAGGAGAATTACATATTCAAGGTGAGGCTAGGCAACTTAGCGAGACTCTGTCTCAGAAAGATTTTTTTTTAAATGGCTAGAGATGTAGCTCAGTGGTAGATCACTCGTCTAACATGTGCAAAGCTCCAGGTTCAATTCCCAGCACCACAAAAGATAAAAAACAGAGCCAGGCATGGTGGCACAACCCTATAATCCCAGCATTTGGGAGGCTGAGGCAGGAGGATCACCACAAATTCAAGGCCAGCCTGCAAGGCTAGCCTGTACTACAAAGGAAGACCTTGCCTCAAAAATAAATGAATAAAATAAAAAACAATAAGAAAAAGTAAAGCACTAACTTTTTTTTTTTTTTTGGTACAGGGGATTGAACTCTGGTTCTTGGACTTGTGAAGCAGGTGGCGAAACCACTGAGCTAAATCAAACTCCAGCCAATCCTCCTGCCTCAGCCTCCCAAAGTGCTGGGATTACAGGCATGTGCTACCACTTCCAGCCACCAACTTCTTAAATAAGCAGCTACACAATAAATATCAATTGAACTCCTTTTACACTGCATTTACAATGTGCTCTCTGCTACCTCTAAATGGACAAGGTGTTTAACAAAAACCACAGCATGGGCCAGGGATTTAGCTCAGTGGTTCCAGCACCTGCCTCGAAAACGCAAGGTCCCAAGTTCGATCTCCTGTACAAAAAAAACCCCAAACCCCCCCCCCCCCCCCCCCGCACAGCATATTGTTCTAAGAAAAAGCCAAACTGGTAGGCTGGTGGCACATCCTTATAATCTCAGCACCTGGAAAGGTGAGGCAGGAGGATCGCTGCCACAAGTTCAAGGCCAGCCTGGGCTACATAGTGAGACCCTGTCTCAGAAAAAAAAAAAAAAAGAGAAAAACATCAACTTTAAGTTTGAAAAAAATCAATACTCTGTTCTCTAAGCTTTTCCTAGAGACTTGTGTGTGACAGGGTCTCGCTATGTAGTTCAGCCTGGCCTCGAACTCACTATGCATCCTATGCTGGCCTCAAACTCACATCAATCCTCCTGCCTCAGCCTCCCAAGTTCTGGGATTATCTAGAGATTAACAGCATCTCTCTAGAAGGTAAATTTTTCTGTTATATATTGGTTCTGAGATACAAATTGAAAAAAGAAAAAATTTGGTGTCTATTTGTGAAAAATAAAAAAGGCAGTTTCTGATTTGGTTAAGGAAACAAAGCCATTACCTAATCAGGACTCGTGCAATCTAATGGTTCCCACTGGCTCATTTATTTTGCAGATTTCAAATCTTTTTGTTGTTGTTGTTGTTTCTTGAGATAGGGTCTCAATTATGTAGTTCAGGCTGACCTCAAAACCACCATGTAGGGCTGGGGATTTAGCTCAGTGGTTTCACCGCCTGCTGCGCAAGCACAAGGACCGAAGTTCGATTACCGGTACCAAAAAAACAAAAAAACCCACCATGTAGCCCAGGCTGGTTTCAAACTCAAGGTGATCCTCCTGCCTCAGCCTCCTCAATACTGGGATGACAGGCATGGGCCACCACACCCGGCCTAGATTTCAAATCTTTTAAGGATAAATATTCCAAGTATATTAGGTGACTGAGATTCTATTCTTTGTTTCCTTTGGCTTCCAACAAGTAACTCAGAGAGGCTCTACCTTTTATGAGAAGGTGCTCATTTTTTTTTTTGGTACCGGGAATCAAACTCGGGACCTTGTGCTTTTGAGGCAGGCAGTGGAACCACTGAGCTAAATCCTCAGCCTTGAGAATCTACCTTTTAAAGAGAACAATTCATCAGTGGTTGAATTGAGAGTGCAAGTCTTTTAAATGAAAAGAACCTGAAAATACCCAGTGATCTTGGAAAGACAAACTCTCAGTCTCAGGAAACAACAGAGTGCTTCAAGTTGCCCTGTTAAGTTTAAGAACACAAGCAGGGATGACAGATTTGGTGAATAAAGTCCTGAGTAGGGGAAACACATATAGAAAAGTCTAATTTCCTGGAAACCTTAAAGCTCACACTTTTAAAAACTTGTTCTGCACAATTACTTCATTAACAGCTAGTTAGTTTTCTTATTTTCAATGTCTCTTACTCAGTAACAGAGGAATGTAGCCTCTGTATGCCCACAGGGCACACCATACTACAAATTTTATTGAACAAAGGCAAATAATCCACCCATTCTACCACATTCTTACTCACCAGCTATTTTCTGTCTATGATTTGGATCCTGGCAGGCAGCAAGAATGGTAGGTGTGTGTTGTGTTCCTCTGGACAGCCCTGCAGTGGCACACATGTTAACCCAACCACCCGGAATCATCCCTTTATAACTTACTGAAGAGATCAAAACACACGGTACAGACCTTCCTAATTCTCTGCCTTTTAAAATAATGACATTAAAAGTCATTTTCAGCACAATGTCATAAATATGCCCCCTGTAAAGCTTACTTCTGGGTTCTGGTTACTTTTTTAAAAATAGAACTGTCAAAAGTTGCTTTCCATTCTTGGTAACAGGAATGTAGATGCTTTTAATAGACTTTCTAAAAGTAGATAAACTCTTAAGAGTGTAAACCCTATTAGCCAGAGGTGATGGTACATGCCTGTAATCCCAGCATTCTGGATGCTGAGGCAGGAAGATAACCATGAGTTCTAGGCCGGCCTGGGGTACATAGAGACCCTGTCTCAAAAAACAAAAACAGGGCTGGGGATTTAGCTCAATGGTTCCACCACCTGCCTTGCAAGCGTAAGGACCCGAGTTTGATCCCCTGTACCAAAAAACCCACAAAAAAACAACAAAAATGTAAACCCTAGAGCAGTAATGGCAAAACTTTTAGAGCTTTTAATGACAACAAACAGCCCAATGAGGCATGTGTGCCATAGGTTCACCACCACTTCTGGCCTAAGATCTAACAAAAGGGCTTACCTAATAAGCAATGTTCCTGACATCCAGAAATTACCTGCCAGCCAATACTTTATTCAAAGTTCTAAGAGCATAAAAGAAAAAAGACTTTCAGCTATGAAGAATAAATTTGTGCCATTTAAAAATTTCTATCAAGAAGCTAGGTGTGGTGGCACACATCTGTAATCCCAGCACTAAGCAGGCTGAGGCAGGAGGATTGCTGTGAGTTCAAGGCCAGCCTGGACTACATAGTGAGAGCTGTCTCAAAAAACAAACAAACCAGGGGCCGGGGATTTAGCTCAGTGGTTCCAGCTCCTGTCTCAAAAGCACAAGGTCCTAAGTTCAATTCCTGGTACCAAAACACAAAAACAAAAACAAACAAACAAACAAACCAAAGAAAAGGAGGAGGAAAACTCGGTTGCCAAGAGAGAGGCAGAAGACCATCACTGTGAGATCACTCACATTTCTTCACTGTGTGCGTGTGTGTGTGTGTGTGTGTGTGTGTGTGTGTGTTGCTGGAGATAGTCAGGCCTTCTACCATTGATCTACACTCATGCTCAGCCCACTTATCCACTTCCAGATCAGGGGAGTTATTACTTACTCAGAGTAAGTACACTAAACTTTTTTAGGCCACTGTACATGCTTTCAGTGGTTGTTCTCACCCTTCAGTGTGTACTTCTTTCCCTACCTTAATAAATGTAAAACCTCACTACCTTTAAAATAAATAAATAAAAATTTAAAAAGCAAAAGAAATAAAAGTCCTACCAGAATGTCTGAGATGCTGAGCTTTATGATCAGAGTGATGAATACTCACAGGTGGAGCTCTTCAAAAGACTTCACCGAGTAGAGAGGGGAGCTGGGGTCCCGCTGCAGCACTTCCACTTGGTTCGTGTTATCCACAAGGTTGCTTCTGATCAGCTTGTTGAGTAAAGACTGGGCAGCTCTGTCCTCTGTCCAAGAAACCAGTAGATTTTGTAGCTACATGAAATCAAACCCCAACTTGTAAAAGTGCTCTATCTCCCTCTCAGCCCCAGCACCAGGCAGCCATGTGTGGCTAGAGGAAACAAATCATGTTGGCAGCTCTCCCTTTAAATTCTTTTTAAAACTTTTGGTACTAGGATTGAACCCAGGGCCTCTGCACAGAGCTATAACCCCAGCCTAGTTTATTTTTATTTCCAGACAGGGTCTTGCTAAATTTCGAGATGCCTCAGCCTCTCAGAGTGGCAGGGGTTTCGGCAGTGCCCAAGTCCAGCTCCTTTCACATTCTTGACTATAAGACTCAAGTGGGCTGATCAACTCAACAACTTTTCTTGTTTCCATAGTCTACTAATTCATTTTTCACCCATAATACTTTCTCCTCTCTTCTCAAACCCTGAAGTTCTCCACATTCTCAGTCTGGACCTTAGCTGCACATCTATCTGCCCACACATGGGCCCACCCCTTCCTGTGCACAGGACAGTTCTCTCTGCACAGCCTCCTGGCATTATCTCCATCCCCTCCTGAGCCACTCCCACAGCACCTGAACCTGTTTTAACATCTCTCTTTATAAACCTGCTTCCTCCTTTAACCCATATTCCCACCCAGCCACTGTCCCATTTGATTACCCTCCTTTCTGGAACATTCCCTAAAAGGGCTTATACTCATCTCATTTCCCCTGCTTCCCTTCTCTGTTCAATGTACACGCTCAAGAGACCTTGCCAAGGTCCCCAGTGATTTCCACATGCCAACCTAATCCAATGGTCAATTTGTAGTTTATTTTTTTTTATTTTGAGGTGGGATCCTGCTATGTTGCCCAAGCTGGCCTTGAAATTGCAATCCTCCTGCCTAACTCTCAAGCAGCTGAGACTACAGGAACACTCAACATTGCCTGGCTCTAGTTGTTCTCTTTTTTTTTTTGGTTTTGTTTTTGGTACCGGGGATCGAACTCGGGTTCTTGCGCTTGCGCACCAGGCGGCGAAACCACTGAGCTAAATCCCTGGCCCTCTAGTTGTTCTCTTAATTAGCCTGTTACCTCTTGCTAACACCCTACTTTGGACATACTTCCTCTGGCTTCCAGGACACTGGCGCTCTTGACCAGCACTCTGTCTCCCCAGGGCTCTTCCCCAGTCTCCATGGTGGGGCCCCTTATCTCCTGATCGTAGCTCAGTGCTTCCACCTCCTAGAAGGCAAGGCCGGGATCCTCCTCCCTCTCTTGCCACAGGGCTCTGAACAGATAGTTACCTTTCTCTTCCTCATCTGTCTTCTCTGCAGTGGGACTGGTTTTGACAACACCTAAAGAAGAAAATAGTTGTCATGGGAAAGGCAGTTTTTAAGCTCACCTAAAAAGTGGGACAATCAAAACACTAAAACTTGCTTTAGTGACCCAATATAAAAACTGGCATTTCTTTATGTTTAATGGATTGTATTTCTAGGAAGTTTTTAAGTATGTAAGAAAAATTTGTCACCTGACTTAAGTTAAAATACAGCCTTATAAGGCCAGGGATTTAGTTCAGTGGCACCACGCCTGCCTCACAAGCACAAAGTCCTGAGTTCAATCCCTGGTACTGCAAAAAAAAAAAAAAACCCCAAAAACGCCCCACAAAACCCAGCCATATATATATATATACATTTGTTTGTTTGTTTGTTTTGGTTTTTTGGTACTGGGAATTGAACTTGGGTCCTTGCACTTGCAGAGCAGGCAGCGGAGCCACTGAGCTAAATCCCCAGCCCAAAACAGCCTTATATATATATATATTTTTGGTACCGAGGATCAAACTCGGGACCTTGCTCTTGCAAGGCAGGCGCCAGAACCACTGAGCTAAATTCCTGGCCCTAACCTATCATTTTTTACCTATCAGGTTGGCCAAATTCTAAATGTTTGATTAAAAATAAGCAAGTCTGATTAAACACTTGTGATGAGGCCACAGGGAAACAGAGTTACATGCGGTGCTACTAGAAGTATAAATTGTTGGGCTGGGGATTTAGCTCAGTGGTTTCACTGCCTGCTGCACAAGCGCAAGGACCCAAGTTCAATCCCCGGTATCAAAAAAAAAAAAAGTATAAATTGATATGACACATATGGATGGCGAGTATTTTGAATACACTTATAAAAATTGCAAATGCATATGCCTTTGTCCTATAGTCTTTTGGGAATTTATCCCACAAAAACACTGTACACATATAAAAAAATTTAAGTTCATGGTTATTCCACAAAGCACTGTTTATAAGAGCAAAAGAATGAGACAAACCTAAACATCTAACAATAGATGACCAGTTAAATAAATTACAGTGTATTACATAATACAATGCCTTGTAGTTATAAAACAGTGAGGAAATACCATGTCCTGACATATAAATGTTTTCTTATTTTGAAGACAGGGTCTTGCTACGTAGTACAGGCCAGCCTCCTCAAACTCCTGGGGATCCTCTTGCCTCAGCCTCCCGAGGGCTGGGATTATAGGTGTGTACCACCATGCCCAGCAAGTACTGACATTTTAAAGTAAAAAAACAAAAACAAAAAAAACAACAAAAATCCAATATGACTAGGTCCTTATAAAAAGGTAAAACTGAGGGCTGGAGATGTATCTCAGTAGACCACTTACCTCATGTACTTGAGGCTCTGGATTCAATCCCCAGCACCACAAAAAGGGGTAGCACTATGGGTACCAGACCCAGGGGGTTGCTATGTGAAGATGAAGCCACAGACAGCAGAGATCTTGTTACAGACCATGCAACCCCCGACTGCAGGAATCCAGAGAAATGAGGGAGAGACCTGGGGTAGGGTCCTCCTCCCAGCCTGAGGCAGCCAACCTTGCCAACACTCTGGCTTTCCAAACCCTGAGCCAATGCACTGCTACTGTTCACACCCCCAGCTTCGCGGTGCTTCACTGAGACAACCCCAGCAAATGATGCCACCACACGTGCGACTGGGGATGAGACCTAGTACCTTTTTATATTTTCTGAGTGTGGAACTCAGATTCGATTTTTTAAAAGTTTAAAAATATTTCAAAATATAGCAGTAAGTGAGCAGGTACAACAGTGATTCTTTTTTTTTGGTACCAGGGGTCGAACTCCAGTCCTTGTGCTTGCGAGGCTGGAGGCAGAACCACTAAGCTAAATCCCCACCCCCAACAGTGATTCTTAATGTTAAAGAGTCAGAGGTTAGAAAAACCTGGAAAATGGACATAATGCCCCTTCGGTCATAAAATCTAATTTCAGGGTCTCAGTTCCAGCGCTGTTGTTTGCCAAACATACCCCTAAAAGAAAGCTCCACTGCTCACTACAGCTGGGAGCACAAAACAGAAGCATGTGACTGGTACCTGGCCTGTAGGCACTAGTGAGTGACTCACCATTGGTATCTGGTTTGACCTTCTCTTCCTTGATCTGCAAACTGCTCATCTGAATAGGAATAAAAGGAAACAGAATAAGCAAAGGCCCCAGTCAAAGAAGGCCCGGGACAGGAGGAGCTCCCCTGTGACAATCTAGCAAGAACAACTGCACAGCTCTAGTCAGGGAGCTGGCCTGTCCTCACAATGCAGAACTGCTAAAAGCCTAGGTGAAAACATTACACGAATCTTCAGTAGCCTTAAGGGGGTGGGTGCTAAATGTAATGGTAGGGAGAAAGAGTATAAAAGAGTCCTAAACCTCTGCCTTTCCCCTAAGTACACAACTAGAACATCTACTCTTTACTAAATAGTATGTCTTTTCAGTGGTACGAACACTTAAAGTTCCTTTCTTTTTTTTTTTCTCCGTACTTGGGATTGAACTCAGGACCTTGCACTAGAGAGGTAGGCACAGTGAGGTGACACTGAGCTATATCCCCAGCCCTTAAAGTTCCTTTCTGAAAATGATACCACTTAAACACTTCAAATAAGCTCCCCACCCTGCCCTCAACCCTGGGGATTGTTTCCAGGGCCTCAAGAATACCAGGCAAGGGCTGGGGATTTAGCTCAGTGGTTCTGCTGCCTGCCTTGAAAGCGCAAGGTCCCGAGTTCAATCCCCAGTACCAAAAAAAAAAAAGAATACCAGGCAAGAGTTCTACCCTGAGTTACACCTCCAGCCCTGCTTCTCCTTTTTAACCCTGAAACCTGTGCTGTATTAAAGTAACAGAAAATACAGAACTATCTTTAATCGTCTGTGATCCCAGCACTCTGGGAGGCAGAGGTAAAAGGACTGCAAGTTTGAGCCCAGCAAGGGCATCTTAATGAGACAGTCTCAAAATTAAAAAATAAAGCCAAGCATGATGATGGTGCATGCCTGTAATCCCAGCACTTAGGAGGCTGAGGCAGGAGGATTGCCATGAATTCCAGGCCAACCTGGGCTACACAGTGAGTTCAAGGCCAGCCTGAACTACATAGCAAGATCCTACCTCAAAAAAAACAAAAACACAGGGTCCCGAGTTCAATCCCTGGTACCAAAAAACAAAGACAAAATAAATAAAATAATTAATTAATTTAAAGTAAATAAAAAGGGCTGGAGATCCAGCTCAGTGTGAAGGCCCTGGGTTCTACCTCTAATACTGCAAACTTATTTCAGTGAAATAATTGACAAACCCAAGTCCCTGATATGAAAATGTTTCAAAATTTAAAATACAAACTTGCTTGGTAAGTTGCCAAGGAAAGTGCAAGTAGAGCAATAATTAATAAACTTGCAATCAAGTGTCTACTTTCATAAAAACTAATTTTCTATGTTCTAAGAGTTGGTAAGAGGAAGAAGTGCACTATAAAGATGGTATTAGAAAGGTATGTTGTTAGGTTCTGAGAATTTCTAAATCAACTCCTAGGCCGATAGCCTGCCCCGAAGGCCCCTGAGCTGACCTGGTAACCACTGGTTCCTGAGGCTTATTACATACTTCATTAAATAATCATGCTCCTATGCTGGGGATTTAGCTCAGTGGTTTGGCTGCCTGCTGTGCAAGCGCAAGGACCCAAGTTCAATCCCCGGTACCAAAAAAAAAAAAATCATGCTCCCTCCAATTCGACCTTTTTCCAACTGACCCTATTCTGGGCCTTTGGGAGATGGCAGTCCCACAGTAAGAGTATTCATCTGAGCTCTCTAGAAACCAGATTTTCCGGAGAAAAAGGAGAGCCACACACTTTCTCCTTAGGGGTAGACGACCTTTCTCTGATGGCAAATGGGAAGCTGACACAGATCTAGGAAGGAATCTTACCAGGTCTTATCAAGGGGCTGATTACTCTTCATTTTCAGAATGTATACAGCAGAATCAAAATAACTACAATTGAGATCATCTGAAAATGTGATTGAGACCATACTGATTAGTGTGATCTCCAGAAAGCCTGACTGATGCCCAGAGTGGTGGCACCCACTTGTAATCTCAGCGACTCAGGAAGTTGAGGCAGGAGGATCCCAAATTCAAATTTAGGCTGGGCAACTGAGCAACACCCTGTCTCAAAATAAAAAATTAAAACAGGCTAGGGATATAGCTTAGTGCTCCTTGAGTTTAATCCCCAGAACTAGAAAAAAAAAAAAAAAGTCAGCCAATCAATTCCCCATTGTCCATGATTCTGGATTCACTCTCAGCAAGGAGCCTGCTGATGATTAATCCTGCCTTTCCCAAAAGCAGAAAGGCAGGGTCCTTGACACGGGACACAGCGAATGTGCACAGGGCTATGCAATTAAAAAGAGGGGTGAGTGGGTGTGGTGGCACACACCTGTAATCCCAGCACTCAGGAGCCTGAGACAGGAGGATCGCCACAAATTTGAGGCAAGCCTGGGCTACATAGTGAGTTCAAGGCCAGTCTGAACTACACAGGGAGACCTTATCTCAAAAAACAAAACAAATTTTTAAATTAAAAAAGGGGAATCTTCTCGAACCATTAGGAAGCACTGTTTTAAAACATTTATACCGAGGTGTTCAAGATTGGCCTGAGCAAGATACCAAGGCCCTGTTTAAATCAAACAAAAAAAATTTATAACCAGGATGGTTAGAACCAAATACTAAGTATGTTTAGGAATATATTGGTGACATTCATATCATAGTAAGATTAGCCGGGGATTTAGCTCAGTGGTTTCACCGCCTGCTGTGCAAGCGCAAGGACCCAAGTTCGATCCCGGTACCAAAAAAAAAAAACATAGTAAGATTAGGGTCACACTGTGCATGTGTGGTACCGCCCAGGGCCTCATGTATACACCAGTGCTCTACCACTGAGCTACATCCCCAGCCCTAGGTCATACATTTAAAAAGCCTTAGATTTGAAGCTGGTCACAGTGGTACACACTTGTAATTCTAGCACTCAGGAGGCTGAGGCAGGAGGAGTGCTGCTAGTCTGAGGCCAGCCTGGGCTACATAGTGAATTAAAGGCCAGCCTGAATTACAGAGTGAGACCTTGTCTCAAGAAAGAAAAGAAAAGAAAGGAGAGAGAGAGAGAGAGAGAGAGAGAGAGAGAGAGAGAGAGAGAGAGAGAGAGAAATCATACCTGTGAACATAACTACATCGTAGGTCTTCAAGGCAAATCATCAAACCAACTGAAAACTTGTGGGAACTCCCAATACAAATACTCTCCAGATACAGACTTTCCTTGAACTCAGAACATTTAGACCTGCACTCATTGTCTACACCAAATGTGCCCTCCTGCCCACTTCTCTATTCCTGTTATTAGCACTTTATTAACAATGTCTAAAGAATAAAGGTTGAAAATATTAACTTGCCTTTATCTCCTTCTCTTCTTTTTGTATTATGTTAGCAAATCCTCATATGTAGTTTTTTTAGAGGTACCAGGGACTGAACCTAGGGCCTTCACACTGAAATACATTCCTAGCTCTTTTTGAGACAGGATATCACTAAATTGCTAAACTGACCAGGCTGGGTTGGGACTTGTGACCCTTCTACCTCAGCCTCCCAGAGTGCTAGGATTAGAGGCATGTGCCACCATGGCCAGCTTCATTCCATTCCTTCATCTTCACTTCCACTGCCCAAAATATGCCCTCACTCTCTGGGCAATCAGTAACCTGCACACTGATCTCCTTGCAGTCCAATATCTGTTAGTATTTCTCTTAAAAACTGCAAGCCTACTAAATACAGCCTTTACTCTTTAGTTCTTAGCTAAGGTTCACAGTAAATTCTCTGCAATCTTTTCTATACTGTCCCTACCCCAACGTGCTAACCTAAACTGGAGCAAAACTGAGTTCTGACTCCTGTCCAACACTTTGGTGCATTCTGTCCTCCTAAAGTGCCTTTTACCTTCACCTCTCTTAAATATGATTCACTTTCTAATATCCAGCTCACAAGAAACTACCTGGTTTTTCTACTTATAAATGTTCTCTTATTGCTCAGGAGCTCATTTATCACATTACCCGTACCACTTTCATAGCATTTCCCCCATTCTTGCCTTTCCATCTAGACTGTAAATCTGCTTCTCATATTCCCATGGGCTTAGATCATGTCAAATACCTGCTGACAAACTGAAAATACTCCTGAAGCAATAAACACGGCTGGAGGGCCAGACCTGCTGGTGCACAACTGTAATCCCAGCACTGAGGCAGGAGGATCCCTGCGATTTCAAGGCCAGCCTGGGATACATTTTGAGTCCAAAGCCAGCCTAAACTACATAGCGAGACCCTGTCTCAAAAAACCCAAAGAAAGAAAGAAAGACAGACCATGGCTGGAGAAGAAATGTAATTCAAGCCTTAAAAAGTTCTGTAAAGCTCAAGGCCACCATAAAACAAAACCCTATATCCTTTTTGCTGTTTTTTGAGATAGGGTCTTGCTATGTATTCCAGGTTACCCTCGAACTCCTGGCCATCCCAGACAATCCCCCTGCCTCAACCTCCCAAGTATTGGGTTTACATAGTGGGGGGGGGGCAGTTACTGGAAATCGAACTCAGGACCCTGCCTTGTGTTTGCTGGGCAAGCACCCTACTGCTGAGCTAAATCTTCAGTCCCTAAGCTTACATTCTTTTCTGTTTTGGTACCGGGATCGAACTCCGGACCTTGCGCCTGCAAGGCAGGCGGCGGAACCATTGAGCTAAATCCCCGGCCCCCAATCTCACTTTAAATGTCAATTAAACAATTCGTGTTTCTCTCCAACATTTGCAGTTCACTGAAACATTAAATCTAAATCTGAGCAGGGTATGGGGGTGGCCCCTGCCCGTAACCCCAGCACTCGGGAAGCTGAAGTATGACTGCGAGTTCGAGGTCAGCCTACGTTACACAGCAAGACTCTAGTCTTAAAAAAAAAAAAGGGTAAACCTGACTCTTTTTTCTACAAAGAGCTATAAACCCAGCCACGTTAAGAATGGATCTAAGAATTGTTAGATATAAAGTAGTCCAAGAACACGGGCCGGGGATTTAGCTCAGTGGTTTCGCCGCCTGCTGCGCAAGCGCAAGGACCCAAGTTCAATCCTCGGTACCAAGAATAAAATAAAATTTAAAAATAAAGTAGTTCAAGAACGCTCAAAACAATGAAAAAGAATCTGTGTCTAAATACGCCTTCCCTTTGAATCGTCATGAGAAAGAGACGCACTATAGAGAAGGGCGGACAGATTTATCACAGGAGCAATTCTTTATCACAGATGAAGATAAAAAGCTAGATATTGGTTTCTTTAGCTCCAGGATCAAACGAGGGCTAAGTGACCGCCCCCCGGCAAACCGTAGGAGCATGCGAGCCGCAGGCCTGCCCAACTCGGAAAGCTCGGTGCTGCAAACAGGTCCGCTTGGGCCAGCCCGTTACATTCTTCCCGCCGGAAGCCACTCACTGACTTGACAGCTGCCTCCTGCTCGTCCACCGCCAGGGCCCAAGAGTCTGTGGCCATGGTCCCGGAGGAGAAATAGCAACTTGAGAAAACCTGCACCACTCAGCCTTTTGACGCTAGCCTACAGCCAGCAGCCGGCGCGAAACCCCGCTCACGTGGACCGGAAGCGCCCTGCGCGAAGGTGACGTCTGTTCCTACCCGGCGGGCGACGTCACTTCTCTGCGACCCGCTGTCCTGGGGCCGTGCCCCTTCCCGTAGAGAGCAAACCCAGTTTGTTTGTTTTCCAGTAACAGGGATTGAACCCAGGACTTTCTCCCTGAGCTACATCCCCGTACCTTTTAAAAAAATGATGAGACAGGGTCTCTGTAGTTGAACAACTTGGCGATCTCTGCGTTCTCCTCTTGGAATCAAGAAATCACCATCCATGACATGAAGTTAAAAGAAGACTCGGAGGGGTTTGGCTTACCCCGCCAAGTCCAGACACCAGCTAGGGGAAGGCAGCTGCATGAGTGAGCCTGGGGGACACCAGTAGAATCGTTCAGACAATCATCAGAATCACGACAAAAGCTGTCATCTTAAGTCACCGTTTTGGGCTGACTCAAGATCTAGCAATGGATAACTGCTACACAGTTACTTCATGACTGTTAGCTTCAGGAGAGGAAGATTCATAATGAACCCCAGGTTTCTGGCGTGAGCAACAGGCAACTATTAACTTGGTGGAAGAACCGAGAGCAGAATCCGGGTTTGTGGAGTGGTAGTGTTTGGTAATGGTATGAGATGGTGATGGGTTCCATGCTGCTTATATTACCATGTGGGCAATTGTTACTGTTCTCTGAGTCTAGGCTGTAGCATTTAGCCAAGAACAGGTTTTTGTTTGGCTTTGTTTTTGGTACCGGGGATCGAACTCAGGACCTTGTGCTTGCGAGGCAGATGGCAGCACCACTGAGCTAAATCCCCAGCCCATGTGGGCAATTGTTTCTGTCACCTTGGAGTTCAGCATCCAGTCTTGGTATAGATTTGGGAGTTGACGACAAAGCCACAGGAATTAACAAAATTACCTGTACCAGAGAGAGGAAGAAATGGTCCAGCACAGAGCTGTGGAGAACAGTTACATTTAAGAGGTGAATAAAGGAATCTGCCAAGGTGCTAAGAAATGGTCAGAGAAAAGGAAGACCAGGAAGTGGTGTGTGTCTTCACTCACTAGAAAAGTGGCTCGAAGAAGGGATTGTCCAGTGTTAAGTACTGTTGAGAAGTCAAATATGACCAAAATGTGTTTTTTGGATTAGGAATATGTAAGTCATCAGTGTCCTTGCTGGAGGCTATTGCAAGGGCGCCATGGGGCAGAAGTCGGGTTAAAGACTTTGAGGAGGACTCAGTGCATAGAAACAACTCTTACAAGACCTTTGGCCATCAAGAAATATGAGGATAGAAGGTGAATAGAGGGACAGTAGAATTTTAGTCATCAGATATGAAAATGTTAAAATATTGATGAAGAGGTAATAGAGTGGACAAGGTTGAAAATATGAAGGGACAATGAATGGAGCCTTTAAAAGCCAGGGGAGGGGCTAGGGTTTTAGCTCAGTGTTTTCGCTGCCTGCTGCACAAGCGCAAGGACCCGAGTTCAATCCCCGGTACCAAAAATAAAAAATAAAAGCCAGGGGAGGGAATTTGGTGGACTGGTAGAGAAAGTCAGATTATAGAGCTACATCTCCCATTGGAATAGGAGGAAAAGCTAAGGATGGTTGCCTAATGGAGGGAAGTCTGGTAGTAGACACTTGAGGGAATTTCCTTATGTTGACTGATTTCTTGGAACAGGGAGATTATTTGCTGACACCTGAGGGATACTGGGTTGGAAGATTGAGGTGAGTATGGAAATGGTCATTTGGAGTGTGGGCAGTTAACCAGAAAGATCCACGGGCCTGGGTGTAATCCCAGGTACTGGGGAGGAGAAGCAGGGGGTGTCACAAGGTGAAGTCCAGGCTGGGCAATTTAGTAAACTCCTATCTTCAAAAAATTTAGAAAAAGCTGAGCATGTAGCTCAGTGGTTGATAACACCTGGGTTCAATCCCCACTACCAGGAGAGGAGAGGAAGGGGAGTTGGGGGGAGGGATCATCCATGGGGCTAGAGGCATTGGAGGTTTTTCTGAAGTTGTCTCCATTGATGTTAAACGTTATGAAATCAGATTATAGAACATGTCTCTGTGGCCTAATCTTTTAGAAATTACAAAACAATCCTCAACATTGGGACTTTGTTGTTAAACCTGGAATCAAAAGTAGCTACTTATGTCTGAGAGGAAATTAAATAGACCAGAGCATAATAAACCTGGCACACTTGGCCATACAACCTGACCAAGGGCTGAGCTGTCCTTTGGTGTACGCAGTGAGAGTTTACTCTTGGGGTCGGGGATTTAGCTCAGTGGTTCCGGCACCTGCCTTGCAAGCACAAGGTCCGGAGTTTGATCTCTGATACCAAAAAAAGAGAGAAGTTTACTCTTAGGGACAAGGTAAGAACCCACAACCATTTGGCTGTTCTCCAACTGGGAATTCCAAGGATCCTGGAGTCATATGGATGAGGATGTGACAACAGTTAGAAAATGTGTAGTCTTCCAGGGAAGTTCTGTCTAGACACCCCTCTCCTACTTTGGCAAAAGGTGGCATAGGTGTGGGTTAAAGGGCTGCATAACAAAAAGGTCTGCTCCCTCACCCCTACCCTTCCTCTGACCAGGAGATAGGGCTAGGGCAGAAGGGATATCTCACCTGACAGCTGACAGGCCAGCCAGCTACCACTGTCAGGCTTCACACCCTTTTCCCCATCTCCTGCTCCTATTTCATGTCTGGCCCAACTATGGAGCAGGCCCCAGTCCTGCTGAATATTAATGCCAGAGCAGTTGCTAAGGGAAGGAGAAGCATCCACCACCTCACCCGGCCTCTGACTTCACACTAGATGTTCGAACCTGCTCTGACGAAGCCTAGTCTCTCATTCAAATAAGCAAGGCCGGGAAGTCTTTTAGCAGTTTCTCAAGAGGCCCTCACCTCCAGTGTTATTTTTAGGAGATGATGCAATAGGAGTCAGGCAACAAAATAAGGAACATTTATTCTCAAACAGAAAAGCAAATTCATGTAAAAATGCAACAAGTTTCCAAGAATCTATTGTCTATTCCAAGCCCACAGGAGACCTGGAGGGTCCCTGAAATCTATACCTTGGGGTTGTTACTAAAGGAGGGGTCAGTCCCTTTTTGTTTGAGACAGGGTCTCACTATGTAGTTGACTGGCCTTGAATTCACAGTGTAGCCCAGGCTGGCCTGGAACTCATGGCAATCCTGCCTCAGCCTCCCAAGTGCTGGGATTATAGGTATGCATCACCACACCCAGAGAGTACTTTTATAAAAGTCACAGGCCTGACATTTTACACACTAAGTGTATGAGATTCAACCCTAATGCCATCTGTTCTTTCCACACCTTCCTTGTGTGGGGTTCTCAGAATTATTATGTACAGTGAAAATAATTTCTTTGGGGGGCGTTGCTGGAGAGAAAAGGTAATTTTTAAGAGCCACAAATCCTTTTGGGAATAACATGAAGGTGTAAAAGCCTACTACTCTTCAATTCCTTAAGTGCATTCCCTTTTCTATGTTCTCAGTACAACCATCAACATTTCAGCACTGGCTGTGTGATAGGACTGATGCAAGGAAATCTGATTTCCCAGCTGCAGCCTTTCCTACTGCCACTGTATCCAATATCCTGGCTATATGCTACACCATTTTTCCCCCCAAACTAATTTTATCACTTCCTTTTTGTGTAAAAACCTATGAAAGATTACTGATTCCAAGTACCACTTGGTATGATTTGGATGATGATGCCCCCTCTAAAATTCATGTTGAAATTTAATCTCCAGTACTACAGTATTAAGGAATATGGTCTTGCCAGGGATTTAGCTCAGTGGTTCCAGCCCCTGCCTCGAAACTGCAAGGTCCCAAGTTCAATCCCTGGTACCAAAAAAAGAAATATGGTCTTCGGGAAGGGCTAAAAGGAACTAGCATCTTTTCTTTTCTTTTTTTTTTTTTTTTGAGACAGGTCTCATTATATAGCCCAGGCTGGCCTGGACTCACTACGTAGCCCAGGTTGACCTTGAACTCATGAGGATCCTACTGCCTCAGCCTCCTGAGAGCTAGGAGCACAGGCATGCGCCACCACACTCGGCCCCTGAATTACATCCTTATAAAAGGGCTCAAGGCTGAGGGAGGGCTCACTTGCCCTTCCATCCCTTCTGCACAGGAGGACACAGTAGTGCTCCCCTATGGAGAATGTAACAGCAAGGTGCCATATCGGGTTCAGAGAACAGCTCTTCCCAGACATCAGCCTTGCAGCTGCTTGGATTTCCCAGCCTCTAGAACTGTGAGAAATTTGTTCTTTATAAATTACCCAGTCACAGGTACTTTGTTATAGGAGCACAAAGAGACTGAGATACCATTTAAACATTCTAATAGGTAATCAAAATATAATTTGGTTTTTTTTTGGTACCGGGGATGGAACTTGGGACCTTGTACTTGCAAGGCAGGCAACAGAACCACTGAGCTAAATCCCCAGCCCAATCAAAATATAATTTGAATAGAAGTAAAAAATGGAAACAAAGCTTTTGTACATACGGATGGGAGGGGGCTTGAAGCAGGAATGGGATTAAATAAAATTTATCAAAAAATAATTTAACTGTGATCATTAATCATCATTTTCTTTCCTTTCTGAGCCTCTGCCCACAAGGCCAGGCTACCCTCCTTAGTACCCCTCCAGTGTACTTCCTTTATCCTAGTGAACTTCCTTTCCTCTTACGATTCTTTTCTCCTGCCTGGGGCACTCTTTTGTCACTGAGAATCCTTCTTTTTTGTTATTTGCAAACTGCATTCCTTCATAAAACCTCCTCTAACCTCAGAAATACTTATCTTCTAAAAGAAAAAAAAGAAATACTTATCTTCTGATATCAATGGTGCTTTATATGAAATAGCCTACAGGTAAAATAAGAAACAAGAGATGTAAACAACATAGGAAGAAGACTTAAGTCCAAGCCCCGTTTCTACTCTTTTCCTATGACTCAACAGAATACAGGACTTTGTATTACTGGCATCAGCTTCCTGAATAGTTATCTCACATCCTCTCATTTACCAGCAGAAAAAGGGAATGTAAATAGCCCTCTGGCAACTGACCAGGGCCCTTGGCCTATGGAGATTTCATAGCTACTCAAATTGAAGCAACAACTGAAACAAAGGAATAACATGTTTACTCTTCACTTATTACTAATACTGGAAACAAAAAACATACTGCCACTTCCTTATACTCAGAAATGACGTCTTAGTAACATGAATCCTTCATAGTTAAAATCAATAAAAAATACATCAACAATTAGTTCTTATGCATACTGCCAATGAATGATACTTAAAAAAACCCAATAAAATCCAAAAGTTTGTGGATAATAAACATATCCAAAGTTTTCCACTGGACCAAAAATTTCCTGAGTTTCTCTGTTCTAGAGTGCAATTTATCAGTTTGCAGATGTATATAAATGAATGAATGACTAAAATCCCTGGGGACCAAAGCTCACCAAACAGCATATTTTTACATCACTGATGTCTCTAGGCTGCACGAGGTCACAGAAGCAACTAGACCATTGAGCCCTAGGAGACAGGCACTGGAATGAATATGGACTGTGAGGGAATATTGTTCACAGTGACATTGGAGAGACTTTCCAGAGGCGTCCACACCATTAGGCCTTCATGTTTTTAAAAGATGGATAACCCTTTGGGAGTCTCATCTAGAAAATACCTTTAAATTTAAACACATGCATATACCTTGTACTACACCAAGTTTTTTGGGGTTTTTTTGGTACCGGGGATTAAACTCAGGACCTTTTGCTTGCGAGGCAGGTGTGGCATCCCTGAGCTGAATCCCTGGCCCACTATACCTTGTAGATGAAGCCTATCCAGTGACTTTCTAGAGGTTCAAGATCCTAGATTAAGAGCTGCTGATACACACTTCTACTTCTATTGAAGAGTTGGCTGCACATCCCTTACCATTTTCCTTCTGACTTAGGGCCACAACAGTAGATGAGTTATGTTTGCTGGGAGGAGTGTAGTCAGACTGCAGTCTAGTGGGCCATCTATATGCTTCTTTAAACACTGGCCATGTTTTTAGTTATTTCACAGTTGCTTCACAGGACTTCAGGAGAGCACTAAATTTCTTCTCTTCTTACAAGACTCCCAAGATGGGTCAAAGTTGACCAGAAACACTGAGAAAACACTATCTATAGTCCAATACCCACTGGGGGAAAGTGGCAGAATTGACAGTCTCCTTCTTCATAATGTCAGATTGAGGAAACCACCTGGAAGTTGACATTGGCCACTTCCCTTCCCAGGTGACAGATCTGATCTTAAAACACAAAAATGTCTAAGAGAAAAATCTGGAATTTGAGTAGTTCTCATCACATAAAACCTCTTCCATGGCTGGAGATAGAGCTCAGTGGTAGAGTACTCTCCTAGCACGTGCAAGGCCCTGGATTCGATCCTAGCACTGCAAAAAAAAAAAAACACACACAAAAAGTAAAATTCCTCTTCCAGGTCTACTGTATCAAGGCCAAAGAGGTGAGAACTCCTTTGGGGTGGGATTTTAGACTACTCATTTTTTTTTTTTTGGTACCGGGGATTGAACTTGGGTCCTTGGGCTTGCACAGCAGGCAGCAAAACCACTGAGCTAAATCCCCAGCCCTTTCAGACTACTCTTGCAAATGAGTTTCATCTCATCTTTGATCTGTCCCTCTGGGGATACCAACAGCCTTGACCACGTATGGAAAAGTGTCCACTTCTAACGTTTGCTCTGGTATATTTCATACATGAAGGCCAAGTAAGGATGGACCGAGGGCCTTGGTGATGCCTCTTGTCTTGGACAGATAAGTGGCTGTAGTCCCTAATCGCACCTGCTTATATTCCAGGCACTGTAAACACAGATTTTCAGAATCCTTTTACAATCAAGATGCCAAATATCTGTAATCATCCCCCAGCTGTGACAAAAACTGCCTTGTGTGTGATCTGGAAGCAAAGCAAAAACTTATGCCTACTGTTGGCCACATGTGGAGTTGCCTTGAGACTAGCCACTAGAAATGAACCTTCAATTTTCACTGAGAATTCAAACCTCAGATCACTGTCTAGTTGCTTGAGGATACTATAGGTCAAGGTGATCTGAGAAATATGAAAAGGACACTCCAAGTGCCTGTGAAACCAGGTTTTGGTGCAGTCCTGGGCTACTACTCATTCTCAAGATGCCTACTCCATAGAACTTACTTAAGCAAAAGGCAAAGACCCATCAATAATAAAATGTACACTGAACAGATTGTATCTGCTGAAAAGAACGAGTCACAGTCCGGAGACACAAACCTGCATACAAAGTTTCCAAAGTTGGCATTTTGGTCCATCACAGCAAATCCCTTCCTGGTATGGGCTACGAACAGAGGGCTGGCAATACTCTGTTCCATATCAAGTCCAAAGCAGAAGTTCACAGGGCTGCTCTGTTGCCTCCTGCCATCCTCCAGACAAAATGACTCTGCTTCCAAACATATCCTACTTGGAGCTTCTCCCTGTGTTCTTTTCACCTCTACTCTGTCACTTCCACATGTGCTGAAGGCTGCCTTGCACACTCTCAGCCAGAGAAGCAGGGATTGTTACAAGGGATGTTGGACAGGTAATCAGCTACAGCATCTAGATTAGCATATTGTGGAGAAAATGCTGGCCAAAGACAGACAAAATGTCCAAAAAGTAAATTTTGTGTATTCACACCTAATCCTCTAGTGGTATAAACAATTAACCTACCATTCCCCATCATTTTCACAAATTTTGGTCAAGTCCAAACATAATTTAATGAGGTAGGCAGTGTCTTCCTCGTGTCTTCGTCTGTGGTAACCGTCGAGGCTCGGGCAGAGCAGCCCTGGACTCCGTGAAGGGCGGTGACGGGACGAGGGCGGCACCAGGGACTGGGGAGCTTCTCAGTTGGCTATTTTCTCAATCTCATCCAAATCATCTGTGTCCAATCTTTCTATCTTCTTATCTGGGGGAAAGAGACCAGCACGGGCTTGCCGTGAAAACGCAGCTCCAGTCGCCCCGAAAGGGACAGCGGCAGGGAGACAGGAGACAGAAGGCCCCACCTAGCCTTGGGACACCACTCCCTGGGTCACAGGGATCCTTCGTCTAACCACAAAGGCCTGGAGGGGAGGTCACTGGCACTGACACTCAGCGCCCCAGGCCCCCCAGCCAGGCCACCAGGTGAAGGCCCCACAGGTGCTCCCCAGAAGGTGGGGGGGACGAGAGGAAGGGGCAGGCACAAAGACGGTGGTCCCTCTCGGGGCCACAGGAAAACCCTCCTTTCCCCACCTGTTCCTCTGAAAAGGGCAGCAGGCAGAGGTGGCCCGGGACTCACTAAAATGCTCCTGGATCCTGTTGAGGATGTTCATGCTGTGCTTGCTGTCCACCATGTTCACGGCCAGGCCCCTCTTGCCAAAGCGGCCGGTGCGCCCGATCCGGTGCAGGTAGGTCTCGTTGTCCGGGTTCCTGTCCTTGTCCACAGGGAGATCAAAGTTGATGACCACAGACACTTGCTCAACATCAATACCTGCAGAAAGGGTCGGGTGCGGAACCAAGTCAGGGCGAGAGGCGACGTCCCCATCACCCACATCCCCACTCTGGGTGGAAGAGGAGGCTGGGACCTCTGGGTTGTGGGCACAGGACGGCACACACAGGCCTGTGGCACAGCTGGAGGAAGAGAGCAGACTCTGGCAGGTGCAACAAGCGCGCAAAACCAGAAAGCATCTCTGCAGACAGCGGAACCCATGATGCTGCCCGGAGCGGGGAGCAGGGCCTTTCTCAGGCAGGCAGAGCCTCAGCACCGCCTTTCACCAGGACAGGGCTCCTGGCTTCCGTTACACGGGATGGGGAGCCACTGCAGCCGACCCAGAGGGCACCGAGTGTCCTGGATATGAGGATTCCTCTCGCCACTGGGGCCTGGGACCCCGAGCCAGGCAGACCAGGGTTGTCTCTGCTCACCTCGGGCGCACACATTGGTGGTCACCAGAACCTTCTCTTTGCCCTCGCGGAAGCGCTCAATCACTGCAGCCCTCTGCTCCACCATCATCTCGCCACTCAGCAGAGCCACCTGGTGGCCTTCTTTCGAGAGCTCTGCCGCCAGCCAACTAGCTGTTTTGCGGGTCTGAAGCCAAGAGAATTCTTTTCAATGAAGATCTATACCAAAGCCAAGCGCAGATCCCACCAAAACATGGCTTTTCACGGTTAAAACACAAGCCCCCGATTCATTCAGTGAGCAGTTAGCATTCAAATTTCACACAGAATTTCAGCCACATGATTTGTTTGGATGAATTAACTCCTCCTACTTTTTCCTCTAGAAAGATTGTGCATTGAGCCAAAGATCTGCGTGTCTCAATAGTCCATATCCTTAATGTTTAAAAATTATTTCACTACACACGTGTGTAAATACCAAAGAGTTTCTCTGGTGTGAAAAACTAAAAGTGTAAATAAGGTTCAAATGGTATAACTGATGATGTGAAATAGGAAGAAAAGGTCTAAAGGAGTAGGGGAAGTGGGAAGAGTAGGGGAAAGGAGAGAGGGAAAAGAAAATAATATGAGAAAAGGAAAAAATGGAAACAAAGTCTCTGTAAATAGGAAAGGGTGGAGGGGGTGAAGGGAGGGCAAGGAAATGGGGAAAAAATAAGAATGAAGATACATCATAAAGGTACAAGATCCCAATGATGAATGTAACCATTTTATACCTACAACGTACCAATAAACTTCATGGAAAAAAAAAATTATTTCACTGGGTGTTATTTAGGGGTTTTTTCCAAGCAACTTCTAAGAAGAGGGATCACAGAAGGCCTGGCTCATCACAAAGTCGTCCCCTTAAAACTCAAGAACCTGAGACCATGTGGGGGAGGTGGACGTGATTCTCATTTTCACACAGTGGAATCTGGTCCTCCTAAGCAGGTGGTGGGGCTGGCTGGGAGGGGATGGGCAGCCGCTGCAGGCCCCGCTGCTACTCACATGGCAGAAAATCATGGCCTGAGCGATGGTGATGGCCCCATAGAGGTTGCACAGAGCCTGGAACTTCTCATCTCTGTTGCTGCACAGGACGTAATACTGCTTGATGGTGTCCAGGGTCTCCTCCTCGCGCTTCAGTTTGATGATGTTGGGGTCTGGGACCACTTTCTGGGCAAACTGCCACACAGAGTCTTCGAAGGTAGCAGAGAAAAGCAGCATCTGGCAGTTCCTGGGCAGCATCCTGTAAGGCCCCGGGTGTCAGCAGAAGATCTGAAGCACGGTCTCCCCGGCTCAGATGGGCTCTAACCACAGCAGGCTGCCACGGGGCCAGAGACTCCGGGGAGGGGGAGGAGGCACAGGGGCGGCACAGGCTCCCAGGTCTCCGTTCACAGCCCAGGCTGGCAGTATGCTCAGAGCCGATGTGCAAATGACCCGCAGGGCAACGCTGCTGCACAGACCAGAGGAAAGAACCCCACAGAAGTAGGAGGCCTTGGCAGCTCCTCCCGGCCTGAGCTCCTACCTCTGAATGCGGATGCTCTGATCCTGGTGGCCCTGAGTAGCTATCATCACGTCGGCTTCATCCAGCACAAACACCTTGATCTTCTTGGGGTCAACGAACTTGAGCTTGGAGCACCAGTCCAGGACGGTCCCGGGGGTGCCGATGACAATCTGCTCACTGATCTTCTGACCTCTTTCCACTGTGGAGATGAGATGTTTGCTGGCGGTGTTTCCAAGGCAAAGCCAGCATTCTCCTCTGAGGTACTATGTATTTAATGCTAATTTTTTTTTCTTTTTGAAAACTGAGGATGGAACCTACAGCCTTTGCACTGAGCTATATCCCTAACCTTTTTTAATTTTTTATTTTGAGACAGGGTCTAAGTCACTAAGTTGCCAGTGTTGGCTCAAAGTCACTCTCTTCTGGCTCTACCTCCGAGTCCTGAGATTACAGGTGTGCAACATCACACCCGTCTTAAGCTAATGTTTTTGTTTGGATTACTATTTTGGAGGAAGATAAGAGAGCGCTTAGGATAAAAATGATGAAAATATATAGTAAAGACATAAACAATAAAAACATGAAAAAAATTTTTTTGGTGTGCGTATGTGGCACTTAGCTACATGACTAGCCATATTTTTTAGGGTTTGAGATGAGGATTCAGTAAGCTGCTAAATTGCCCAGGCTGGACTTATACTTGTGATCCTCTTGCCTCACGCTCCCAGAGAGGTTATACAGGTGTGCTCCACCACACCTGGCTTGCTTGTATGTATGCATGTGTATGTATGTATTTGTGGTAACTGAACTCAACAGTGTTCAGTTTAAGCCAAGCGCATCCACCACCAAGCTACATCCCCAGCTCTTTTTTTATTTTCAAAAGGGCCTTGGTAAGTTCCTCAGGTTGGCTTCAAAATTATGATCCTCCTCCCTCCACCTTCCAGAGTGCTGGGATTATAGATTGTGCCACTATGTGGCTTCATTGTACTATTTTAAATAATGGGTATGCTTTGAAATTTTTCATCCCAAGAAGAAATGATACCGATGGGTTTGTGATTCAGTATCACATAGTCATACTCACATTTATTGCCTCGAACAGCATAAGCCAGCTTCAATTCAGGGTAAAATTTACCCATCTGTTCAATCACTTTTCCTGTTTGCAGAGCGAGCTCATACGTCGGGGAGAGGCACAGACACTGGTAGGGAAAGAGTGCAGAACAAGAGTTCAAGACAAAAATCTCTCACCAAGGTTCATTCCCATTAGAACCCAGTCACTTTTCCATCTGAGGCTGAAGGAAAGAATATGTAATTGAAGTTATAACATTTGATCCTAGCAGCTGCAGAACTGTAAACTAGAATCCTTAGGGTTCAGAACTCTGGAAGGGTGAAAACCTTTGAAAACAACTACGGGCCACTGAAGCACAAAAACCCACCCACAAGCATGGATCTGAAATTCCAAATGGAGATGGTGTTCCTTTTCAGGTACTCGGAAAGTTCTGACAACTTTCTCATGGATGACAGCTGCAGATGGAGGCTTTTCCTGCAAGTGAAAAAGTTGTGCCTGTGAGCAGTATCCCAGAACTGGCAAACCATGGAAAAGTGGAGTAAGATTTTTATTACCACCATACCATCGGTGCTTCAGCTCTAGCAAATGAAAAACCAGTAAAAGCTTGAATTTTAAGCCATCAATGGAATTCTTTGTCTAGGTATTTGTTAACAAGAAACCCAAATTCACCAAGTCCTTACCTGGGGGTATCTGTTTGCAGGTTCTACTTGGCTTAGCATGGCCAACACAAAGGCAGCTGTTTTGCCAGTACCAGATTGAGACTGGGCAATTAAATTCTGTGAACTGCGCAGGAAAATAAACTGTTTAGAAGCTTAAATGTCAGTGAGTTTTCAGTTGATACAAATGAAGAACAGACAGCTATGGTGGCATAGTCCCATAATCTAGCTACTCAGGAGGATGAAGCAGGATTAAAAAAAAAAGTTAATCTAGCTACTCAGGAGGATGAGACAGGATTAAAAAAAGTTTGCAACTGGGGATGCAGCTCAGCAATAGAGTACTTGCCTAGCATGTGCAAGGCTCTGGATTTAGTCTCAAGTATCACACACAAAAAAGGAAGTTTAAAATAAAAGCTTTGGGCCAGGGATTTAGCTCAGTGGTTTCACCGCCTACTGTACAAGCACAAGGACCCAAGTTCAATCCCCGGTACCAAAAAAAAAAAAGAAAAAAAATTAAAATAAAATGAAAGCTTTTAGGGCTGGGGATTTAGCTCAGTGGTACAGTCACCTGCCTCGCAAATCCAAGGTCCCGAGTTTGATCCCTGGTACCAAAAAAATAAATTAAAGAGAATAAAATCTTTTAAAAATGGAAAAATGCTGGGCATGGTGGCACATGCCTGTAATCCCAGCACTCAGGCAGCTGAGGCAGGAGGATCACCTTGAGTTCAAGGCCAGTCTGGGCTACATAGTTCAAGGCTGGCCTGCACTACAAAGTGAGACCCTGTCTCAAAAAATAAAGAAAGGAGGAAAGAGGGCCTGGGGATTTAGCTCAGTAGTTTCACCACCTGTCTTGCAAGTGTAAGGTCCTGAGTTCCATCCCCGGTACCAAAAAAAAATTAAAAAAAAAAAGAAAGGAAGAAAGAAAGAAGGAAAGAAAGAAAAAGAAAAACAGAACAATGGAATAGAGTTGTATCAGGATACATACGGTTCAGCAAGCATCAAAGGCAATGCGTTCTCTTGTATTTTGGATGGACGGTTGAAACCCATGGCATAGACTCCCTGGAGAAGCTGTGGTTTTCTAGAAAAACCATTAATGAAAGTCAGTCTCTTTGATTAATGAATGTCAAAATCATCTGGGAGATTTTTTTTTTTTTGGTACCAGGGATCGAACTCAGGACCTTGTGCTTGCAAGGCAGGCTTGGTGGCACTGAGCTAAATCCCCAGCCCATCTGGGAGATTTTTTTTTCTCTTTTTCAGTGTTAGACAGTTTGTAAATAACAATAACTGAGTTGAACATAATGTGTGAATACAGCAAAAGCCTTTACAGATTACCTAATTTTTCCTTAAATTCTTTTATTGGTACATTTTAGGTAAACAATACATTTATATTTATCATTGGGTGTTTGTACCTGTACATGATGTATCTTGGTTCTTATTTTTTCCCCATTACCTGTGCGCCCTTCACCACCTCGATCCTTCCCTATTTACATAGACTTTGTTTCCATTTTTTTCCTTTCTTATAGTTTTTCCTTTCCCTCCTTTCCTTCCCCCTTCCCCTCAAACCACCCCTACTGCTTTGGACCTTTTCTTCCTATTTCAAATTATCAATTATTTGTTTTAATCATTTTAATTCTTATTTACACTTTCAGTTTCTCACACTAGAGAAACTATTCAGTATTTACATGTGTGTCCTATTTATTCCACTTATGAGTATGGCCTCAATATGCAACCATTTAGCTATAAATGTCACTAGTTTCTCATTCTTTATGGCTGAGTAGTACTCCATTTATATAAAAAAACTTCTTTATCCAGTTTCCAGTTGATGGGTACTTGGGCTCTTTCCAACCTTTAGCTATTACAAACTGTGCCGCTATAAACATAGGTGCACATATATCACTGTGGTATGATTCTTTTAATTCTTTGGGGAAGATACCCAGCAGGGGAATAGCTGGGTCAAATGGGACCTCTAGTTCTAGTTGTTTGAGGTATTTCCATACTGATGTCCATAGTGGTTGCACCGGTCTGCACTCCCACCAACAATGGAGAAGGGTTCCTTTCTCCCCACACCCCCACCAGCATTTGTTATTGGTTGATTTCTTGATAGCAGCCATTCTTTCTGGGGTGAGGTAGATTACCTAAAATTTTACTGGAAAGCCCAAAGCAGCTAAATCCATTTATTAACCTCATGTTAGCTAAAAATGTTCTGCTGTATGAAAAAATATGACAGGTCGAGCATCTCTATCTAATGCAAAAGGGAGAATCAGAAAGTAAATACTCACAGGTGGAGCTCTTCAAAAGACTTCACGGAGTAGAGAGGGGAGCTGGGGTCCCGCTGCAACACTTCCACTTGGTTTGTGTTATCCACAAGGTTGCTTCTGATCAGCTTGTTGAGTAAAGACTGGGCAGCTCTGTCCTCTGTTGGGAAAAATAGAGCAAAGACTTTTAAACTTCCATAAAATCCACCATGCAGTCTTTTTTGTACCGGGGATCAAACTCAGGACCTTGCGCTTGAGAGGCAGGCAGAAGAACCACTGAGCTAAATCCCCGGCCCCCACCATGCGGTCTTTTGAATTTAGCTACCATTGATAGTTCAAGTAATAACATGTACTTTAATAGGCTTTCTTTTTTCTTTTTTTCATTTTTTGGTACCAAGGATCGATATCGAAAAGTCCTTGGAACACAGGGTGTGCACCCCCACACCCAGTTAAAAATTCTTTTATAATGCCTGTACAAGATAATCAGCCAGGGAATATTTCATGCTACTGCTGAAGTTCATCAGTGGTTCTACATAAAATTTCTCTAAAATGTAAACCACTAGAATCCCCTCTATTGATTTTTTTTTTTGGTACCGGGGATTGAACTCAGGACCTTGTGCTTTCAAGGCAGGTGAGGTGCCACTGAGCTAAATCCCTGGCCCCTATTGATTATTTAAGTTGAAAAATCTAATGCTGGAACTCAAACTAAAGAGGAGCCAAATTTGGTAAAAAAATGAAGCCTATAATAACCAAGCTTCTTAGAAGGTAGAACCTCATTTATATAGCTTTAAGGCTGTTACCTTTCTCTTCTTCATCTGTCTTCTCTTCATTAGCATTGGTCTTGACAACAGCACCTTGATCAGATACAAACCAGTCATTAGTCAAGATCACATTCCCCACACAATAATGGAGACAATTCAAATTCTAGGACTGTAGAAACATAAAGCCCTGAAGGGCAAAAAAATAAAGGAGGAGGGCCGGGGATTTAGCTCAGTGGTTCCACCACCTGCCTCGAAAGCAGAAGGACCCGAGTTCGATCCCTGGTACCAAAAAAATAAATAAATAAATAAAGGAGGAAACCAAGCCACTGATAAAGGGTTTTGCTGTTGTTGATTGTTTGTTTGTTTGGTACTGGGGATCAAACTTGGGTCCTTCTGCTTTTGAGGCAGTGTTGTTGTTGTTTTTTTGTTGTTTTTTTTTGGTACCAGAGATCGAACTCGGGACCTTGCACTTGCAAGGCAGGCGCCCGAGTGTTGTTGATTTTTTAAGACAGGGTCTTGTTAGGGCCGGGGATTTAGCTCAGTGGTTTTGCTGACTGCTGCACTAGGGCAAGGACCAGAGTTCGATCCCCGGTACCAAAAAAAACCCAAAAAAAGACAGGGTCTTGCTATGCCGTTCAGGCTGGCCTGGAATTTGTGTAGATCCTTCTGAGCGCTGGGATTACAGGCATGCACCACCATGCCCAGCTGTCCTTAAATGAAGTTTTAAAACATGGTTGCTTATATTCAATTCCAGGTCCCCTTATCCTGTCTCAAAAACTAACGATTGTTTCCCTCATAGCATCAATATTTCTGCAATAGTATAGACACATAATTACAATAGCCATGAAACCACCTTCATGCTTAATAGAAGGATATCTGTGCAAACCATGTTCTCTCAATATGGAACATAATAATGTCATTAAAATCTGTGCTTTAGGGCCGGGGATTTAGCTCAGTGGTTTCACTGCCTGCTGCGGAAGCACAAGGACCCAAGTTCGATCCCCAGTACCAAAAAAAAAAAAAAAAAAATCTGTGCTTTACACAGTTGGTTAACAAATATAGAGTCATATAAGGTAGTCATACAAAAGTGTTCAGAAAAAGATTAAGTGAATTCAGAGTAATATAAATGTTACATTGCCCATTTATTGAGATTTTTTTTTTTTGAGCTGCTAGGGATTGGACCAAGGGTCTTGCACACGCTAGGCATGTGCTCCACCACTGGGTCTCTGCCCCCAACCCATTATTTATTATTTATTATTTATATGAGGGTCTTTTTGGTACTGAGGATTGAACTCAGGACCCTGCGCTTGCAGGGAAGGCGCAATGCCACTGCCCATTATATTTTGGACAGAGGAGTTCAGAATGATTAGAACAGGTAAATAATTAGGTTGTTCACACTTTATCTACTTAATCCCAAACTGAAAAACAGGTTTTTGTTTGGGGGTTTTTTGGTACCAGGGATCGAACTTGGGACCTTGTGCTTATGAGGTAGGCAACAGAACCACTGAGCTAAATCCCCAGCCCGTGAAGAGCAGTTTTTATTTATTTTTTGGTACCGGTGATAGAACTCGGGTCCTTGCGCTTGCGCAGCAGGCAGCAAAACCACTGAGCTAAATCCCAGGCCCTGAAGAGCAGTTTTTAAAAGAGCAACAAGTTAGAGGCTGGAGATTTAGCTCAGTGGTTCTGCCGTCTGGCTCGCAAGCCCAAGGTTCTGAGTTCAATCCCCAGTACCAAAAAGAAAAAAAAATAAAAAAATAAAAGACCAACAAGTAATCCTTGGCAGTACACCTATGATAAGTAATAAACTTATAATAACTGATATGCCTTTTGGTATCTTCATACTTATACAGAACATACTTGGTCAAACATCGAGTTGACTGATTCCCAAGTCAAACAAATGTCAGTATCTGCTAGACCTGCCTAGTAAAAATACAATTTTCCCCCCAGGTAATTGATATGCTAAAACAAAAATACAGTACTAAAAGGAAATCACATTTGTTACCACACTAACTTAGTTACTCACCATTGGCATCTGGTTTGATTTTCTCTTCCTTTAGATGCAAGTTGCTCAACTAAATGGAGAATATGGTAAAGGGAGGGGTTAAGTATCAGGAAAATCACTTAAAATATTTTCAATCAACACAGCCACCCTAACGAAAGTAGGCAAGAAAAGAGCCATTCTTTTTTTTTTCCCGGTACTGGGAATCAAACTCAGGACCTGATACTTGCAAGGCAGGGGCGGTGCCACTGAGCTAAATCCACAGCCTGAAGAAAGCCATTCTTAAAATCTACTCATTAGGTATATTCATTAGCAATGCCTCACTCAATAGGTGGTTCTACTGGGTTCCTTTTGCTTAATATTTTTTTCTTCTTTTTTTTTGGTACTGGGGATCCAACTCGGGACCTTGCGCTTGTGAGGCAGGCGCTGGAACCACTGAGCTAAATCCTGGGTCCTTTTTTTCTTCTTGAGGCAGGATCTCATTATATAACTCAGGCTGGTCTTGAGCTCACTATGTACACCAGGCTGCCCTTGAATTTGAAGTAATCCTCCTGCCTCAACTTCCCAAGTACTGGGATACAGGCATATGCCACCATATCCAGCTGCTTATTGCGTATCTGAATGAGAATAAAAATTTCCTATAAATGCAGCAGTAGGGGAAAGATGATTACAAGGAGCTCAAAATCTATACTTCCTAATTATAATTTGTAGAATTATAATTTGTGACTCTGCATAACACCCCAATTACAAAGATTCACTGGCATATCCTTGCAGGTCCAAACAAGAGGAAATCTAAAGAGACACTGGCCAGTGCAGTCTCATTTTAGACGGAGACCCAAGTAGGAAAGCCTACAACTCAAAGCATGTGTGGGTTGGTCTCAGTTATGCTGCAGGATATGTTCGAGCCAAAGCACTGCGGGATGCTGACAGGCCTGGCAGATTCAAGTAGCCTACTACTGGTTGTCCAACATTTTAACTAAAATCTTAAAAGCATAAGGCACACTGTATAATCAAAATACCCACCAGTCTGAGGTGGGACTAGAAAGGAAGAGGCAAATCAAAGAACATTTCAATGAAAAAATCATTAGGACTTTGTCAAACACTGTAAATTCAGGTATATCCTAGCCAGACTTATCTCTCCATTTAGAATGTAAATACCTTAAGGATAGGGGATAGTTCTACTTGGATCTAGTACAAACAAGTGTACTAATTCTGTAATATGAAGTGGGGCCTACATCATCATCTGGGAAAGAGTACAAGAAACACCACCACAATGAAGTGGTTATTTCTTTTCTTTCCTTTTTTTTTGGAGACAGGTTCTCCAATTCAGGCTGGCCTCAAACTCATGGTGATCCTCCTGCCTTAGCCTCCTGAGTTCTGGGATTACAGGCATGCATCACCATACACAGAGAAATGGTTATTTTATTTTATTTTATTTGACAAGGTCGCACTATGTAGTTCAGGCTGGTCTTGAACTCACTGTGTACCCCAAGTTGGCCTCAAACTTGCAAAGATCCTCCTGCCTCAGCTTTCCGAGTGCTAGGATTACAGAGAAATGGTTATTTCTTAAACTATCACCAAATTCTTTATGGTCTTTAGGCTCAAATCTGTTTCCTCCAAGTCCAAGAGTGAAAGAGGAAAGATGGAGAGACAAAAATTAAAAAAAAATTTTAATTTTTATTTGCCTATTTTTGTCACAGTGGGGATTGATCCCAGAGCCTTCACACTGAGCTACATCTCTAGCCACCTCACCCCCCCACACACTTCTTTATTTTGACACAGGATCTTGCTAAGTCATCCAGGCTGGGCTTGAAGTTGTGATACTCCTGCCTCAGCCTCTCCGAGTGCAGGGCCTGGATTACTGCTGTGCACTGCCATGTCCATCCTGACTGGGTTAAGAGACTCCTGGAGAGGTTCGCGGGATCATGGAGGCACTGTCCTCATGGGTGGAAAACACAGGGATGCTCACGGCGGAATGTGCTGTTAGGGAGACAGAGTGGGAGGTGGGTCTCGGGCAGGGCTGCCTTTGGAGGGTGCATTTCCAGCTGGTGCTCTTCTTCCCCGAAGCCAGGAAGTGAGCAATGTTGCTCCCTCCCTCTTCTGCCATGATTTCCTGCCTTGGATCCTGGCAATCATGGGCTGAAACCTCTCGTGTGAGCCAGATTAAACCTCTCCCATTCTATGCTGTGGGTGTCAGGTACTTTGTCCCAGCAACAGGAAAGCTGGCCGCCACAGGTGGTTAGTTGGGAATGAAGGAGCCCCACTTGTACTCGTGGACACTGGAACAAAGTTTCTTGTTCTGGCCTGTACTGATTTGGGTAGAGGGAAACAGAGGGAGGACATACTGGAACGACAACCAGAAAGGAAAATGGCAAAAAGGAAATCATAAAGACATAAAAATCCTTCATTTGATCGGGGATTTAGCTCAGTGGTTTCGCCGCCTGCTGCGCAAGCGCAAGGACCTGAGTTCGATCCCCGGTACCAAAAAAAAAAATCCTTGATTAATTCTGAAGGGTACAAAACTGTTTTGTTTTGTTTTCTGTACTGGGGACCAAACTCAGGACCTTCCCCTTTCGAGTCAGGTGCAGCGCCAGTGAGCTAAATCCCCAGCCCTGTTTTGTTTTGTTTTTTGAGACAGGGTCTTGCTATGTAGTTCAGGCTGGCCTCAAACTGAAAGCTATCCTCCAGCCTCAGCCTCCAGAGTACAGATGTGTGCCACCACACCTAGCAAGAAGTCTTGTTAACTATGAAGCCATCAGCACAGTGCATGAGATATAACAGATGCTCAATACATGCATTTAATTATTTGTACTGGGGATTGAACCCAGGGCTTCTGCAGTGACCTACATCTTCTTTTTATTATTTTACTTATTTATTTTGCAGTATTGGGGATTAAACCCAGGGTCTCATGCATATTAAGCAAGCGCTCTAACACTGAGCTGCACCCCTATCCCTTTACTTTTCATTTTGGGACAGGTCTTGCTAAGCAGGTAGGGCTCCGACTTGTAACCCTCTAGCCTCAGCTTCTCAGAGTGCATGTGCCACCACATCTGGCTTCAATGCATTTTAGTCATTGCTAAACCAGCTCCCCCACATCCTGCCAAGGAACCTAGTTTAAGTCTAGAATTTTTAGAAGACAGGCCTGGGGATGTAGCTCAGTGACACAGTAGTTGCCTAACTGTGTGGGGCCCTGGGTTTCTGGGTTCAATCCCCAGGGCTGGAGAGAGAGAGGGAGGAGGACAGGGAGAGAGACAGGGCAATTTAAAGAAATGTTAGGTTACCAAAATACATTTTGTTCTTACCAACTGAACTTCCAAGTAACAGATTTTATAAGGAAGAGAAGGAGAGACAGAGACAGGAAAGGAAGGAGGAGAAATAGAGATATGCAGACCGACTGATTTATTGGCAGTATTTACAGGAGAGAAGCTAGTTCTTATTTCTATGGTAATAATTAATACCTAAAATATATAACAGGGCTGAGGGGTATAAATTGAGGTATAAATGAAGTATAAAGCATTTTAATATTTAACCATAAAAAGACATTCAATAATAAGATTTTTTGTTTTGTTTTGTAGTGCTGGGGATCAAACTCCGGGGTGTCTATCAGTGAGCGATATCCCCAGCTCTTTTTTATTTTTGAGACAGGGCCTCACTAAACTGCCTAAGGTGGCTTATGATCTTCCTGCCCCAGTCTCCCAAGTACTACCTAGTATCACACACACATCTAATACATCCAACAATGCAGTTGAACTTCAAATGTGTTATACTAGTGAAAGAAGCTAGACTTTTCAAAATACTACATATTGTATGATCCTATTTTGTGATTCCCAAGGGCTGTGATTACAGGAAGTTCTGCACCACCACACCTAGCTTCATAACTTTCATTCATAACTATCAACTATTAAAAAAATAAGAAAGTTGGGAGGGTGGGGATTTAGCTCAGTGGTACCGTGCCTGCCTGGCAAGTACAAGTTTCTGAGTTCGATCTCCCCCGCAAAAAAGTTGTGGGCCAGAATAAACTTTTCTCTTTGTCAGTATTTTTTTTTTGGTACTGGGGATCAAACTCAGGACCTTGCACTTGCCAGGCAGGCACAGTGACACCGAGCTAAATCCCTGGCTCTCCTCAGTTTTTTTGTTAAAAAGCATATTCTTCTTTTTGGTACCAGGGATCGAACTCGGGTCCTTGTGCTTGCACAGTAGGCGGCGAAACCACCGAGCTAAATCCCCGGCCCATGGCCACTCTTAACTAACGCCAAGTTTGTTGCATCTGGGTGATGTTTTAGATTTGCCTTAATTCAGTATCTTCAGTAGATTAGTTAATTGTTAGGCCCCACAAGAAGCAGAAAGCATTTTACAAAATAGACAACTAAAGGTCCTCAGAGGAAGGAAATCTGTTCCTTGCCTTCAGTGCCATGTGTAAGTATCACGGGAACTTGATGTTACCAATATTTTATTTTGGTAGGTTTGGTAAGAAAAAACTTTTTTGTAATGAGATTATAATTCAGCTTAGACATTTAAATAGGTGAAACATGAATGCTTAACTAGTATTAATCCAGTGGTATGTATACTGCCCTTAAAATCATAGCTCTGTAAGTTTTAGAATTTAACAATTTAAAGTTATAATGCAAGAACTTCATATTTTTATACTGTAATTAATTAATATTGAAGTACCAATTTCAGAGCATCAAATGTTTTGGATTTTCCTTTAACAGATTTACCTGAAGGGATATTTAAACATATTTAGATCATTAACTTGTTTCTGTGTTAAAAATGAAATTTAAACTTTTTTAAATTACTTAAAACTTTACTTTATTTCTTTTCAGGTACATATCCCCCCACTTTTTTTCTAATAAAGAAAAATCTTGTAAAAAAAAAAAAAAAAAAGATAATTGTATGAGTTCTGGAGAAGTATTAACTGAAATAGGTCCAAAGCCTTACCAGAATTTAGAATGTTGAGGTGGAGGAAATTTATTCTGCATACTAATATTTAATTCACATCTTCTTTACAATGTATCAGGCTTAGAAAAAAAGAACAAAGTTATGCGGGGCTAAGAGCAAGCTGGAGAAAGTACAGAAATATGAATAAGACAAGGTTCCCTGAGCCCAAGAAGCCCTGCATCTGAGGGTGGATAATGACACCTAAAAAGGGAATTACTGTACAATCCAGGGTCCTGAGTGCAAGCTATGCTCAATTCTGAAAACAGGAAAACAGGCAGGCGGCTGGGTGCTTTAACCAAGGGAGCATCCACCCACATTTATATAACTTGGGAGGTGGCCGGATAAATACAGCCAGCTTAAGGTCCAGATTCCATTCCTCCCCCGCCCCACAATCCCTGAGCCAAAACGTCCTTTTGCAGGGACCAGACCCAGGCCAGAACGAGTCCCCCACAGCCCTTCTACAGGTGAAGCCAACTCACCGACTCAGCCGCCGCTTCTTGCTCGTCCACCGCTAGAGCCCATGAGTCAGTGGCCATGGTCCCGGGCGCGGGTGGGACGCTGGCGCTGGTGGACTCCCTGCTGATGCGGGGCGATCGTGGGCTCTAGGGGATCACGGCAAGCCCCGTCCGTTCCCACCCACCGAGAGAGAACTCATTTACTACCGCGCGGGAGACCGGAAGCGGCGCGCCTCAGTGACGTCAGACTTGGCACTCACCCCCCCCCCCTTTGGGCTGTCACTTCGGGTCGCCTTCAGAACCCCTCCCCACACTCCTGTGCCCATACCCTATACTCTTATCCGACTGAGGTAGTTATCTGACATTGCCTAAACTCGGATCAACTGATCCTCCAACCAAAGAACAAGATCACGTTCCCACCCAGCACGGTGGCATAGAAGACGCTCATACAGACTGATTATCAAACAGCAAACCATTACAGACGGTCAAAATGTATAAAGAGTTATTTCGCTTTCCAGATTGAGAAAGTCCGGATGTTGGCCATCAGCCCTGTGAAACAGCCCCTTTAGTTAAGGATTTGTCCCACCTTAGGTGGGCATGGTGGCACACACCTGTAAACCCCAGCACCCTGGGAGGCAAAGGCAGAAGGACTCCAAGTTCAAGTTCATCCTGGGCAACTTGGAACCTTGTTTTAAAATTTAAGGGGAAAAAAGGAAGAGGATAGCTAGGGATGTAGCTCAGCGAGAAGGCCCTGAGTTCCATCCTTAGTACTACAGGCAATGTGACATGCAAGTTCCAGAAATTTAGCTTTGAAAATACTTAGAAATGTGCTAGGCGAACGTGCTGTAGGTAGAGCATCAGAGACATGAAAGAGTAAGGCAGTTTCAGGAGCTGAATAGGTAAGGTTGCTGGGGGAACTGTCAAGAGTAGCTTAATTATCGAACACAAGACTTTTGTTGGAATTCACCCTCCTGGGTTAGAAGCCCAGCTCTCCTCTGTAAAGGTTGTGTAACTAACTGGGAGAAATTTTTTAATGGAAATATTTCGGGCTTTTAGAAGATGTAAAATAAGGACTGAGACACTTGCTTTCCCTCTAACCTAACTGAATTACTTCCCTAGAAAGAAGGCAGGCAATTTCCTGCAACCTGACATCCTTATTTTGCCAATTTTCCATTACAACAATTTAATCTCAAGTGATGGTGGGCAGATGTGCATATGCAAAAAAGAAAAAGGCAAACACAGCTTGGGAGCATCACTCAAGTCAGAGGCAACCGTAAGAAAAATTTCCCGGAGAACTTACGTTGTTTCACATGGTTAAAGGAGGTTAAAGATTTCTTTTTTCAAAACAAGTTTAACAAAGAATTAAATCATAGGAGGTGCAGGATTATACACAATTATACACAACTTGTACAAAGAACAAAACAAAAAAATCCAATTGGGGATTTAGCTCAGTGGTTCCGCCGCGCAAAGTCCCGAGTTCGATCCCTGGTACAAAAAAAGAAAGAAAAGAAAAAAGAAAATGCATGGAAGGAGGAATAAAGGAGGGAAAATGCATATGTACCAATTCCCCAACATGAGTGTAATTATTATTACAAACAGAGATACTACTAAGAATAAAAGAAACTGATATTAGAGGATGCTTCTGGGGTGACAGGCTCTAGGCTAGGATAGAAAACTTCCTTATTGATGTGTACGTTCTATCCTCTGAAATTATTTTCCATGTGTTCATTTTCCTTTTAAAATTGAATTTCAATAGAAGGAAAAATGGAAACAAAGCTTTTGTACATAGGAAGGGGAGGGGACTTGAGAGGGGCTAGGAAAAAATAAAATGTATTAATAAAAAAATAAAAAATAAAACTGGGTTTCAGGCAAAAAAGAATGGAGATATAACAAATACCTAGGGGTTTTGTTTTTTGGTACTGAGGATCAAACTTAGGACCTTACACTTGCAAGCCAGGTGGTGGAACCACTGAGCTAAATCCCTGGCCCCAACAAATATCTAGGTTTAAGAAATAAAACATGATTGAAAGGAGGGCTGGGGAGCTAGGCATGGTAACTCATGTCTGTAAATCCCAGCATTCTGGAGGCTGAGGCAGGAGGATCACTGAGAGTTTGAGGCCAGCCTGGGCTACATGGTGAGTTCAAGGGCACTCTGAACTACACAGCAAAATCCTATCTAGGGGGAAAAAAAAAAAAAAAGGAGGGTTGGGGATGTAGCTAAATGGTAGCCACTACTTGCTTAGCACGCGCCAGGTCCTGGTTTAGATCCCTAGCACCAAAAGCACTTCAGTTGAAGCCTTCTCTATACTTACTTGTCTCTCAAGAGACAAGAACTGTCCAGAATTTGGTGCTTATTCCTCCTGTACAAACTATTAGCTTGTGTTGCTTTTCCTATTAAAGAAGCCTGGTGTTGGTGGCACATGCCTGTAATCCTAGCACTCTGGAAGACTGAGATAGAAGGACTGCAAATTCAAGCCCAGCAATTAAAAAAAGGTAGGGATGGGGCTCAAATGTAGCTCTGTGCAAAAGCCCTAGGTTCTATCCCCAGTACTGCCAAATAACGAGTAAAATAAAACCACTTAAAAATAAGCACCAAGCTTGGGCGTGAAGACAAGTGCCTATAATCTCAGTACATGCTGTGGGAAGCTGAAGCAGAGGGATTACAAATTCGAGCCCAGGATTTGGCAAGATCCTGTCTCAAAAAAAAGCTGGGGATGTAACTCTGGCATGCAAGAAGAGTCCCTGGGTTCCATCCCCAGCGTTGTAAAAACCAAAACAAAAGTAAGTACTAAGATTCTACACTCTCCTATATCCACTCCAACAGCTACCATGAGCGATGTGAGACTCCAGATAAGAACGAACCTGGTGTCCAACGTGGGGCATGGTGAGGGGAGGGTTAGGGACCGCTGACAAAAACTGGAATCTGGCCTGCAGTACTCACTCCCACCTGGCCTTAACGCTGGAGGACCACAAGGCTCTGGCCTGAGGCCCGGGCCCAACTTATGCCGAAGGCTTGATGAACACTACGTATCATTATTCCCTTCCCCTTCTCCTAGAGGCAGAGGTGGGGAAAATGTCTAAATGTGAAAAACTGGGTCTGTTTCTACTCCGACATATACTCACACTGCCCACCGCCAGGGCGAGTGGAAATTGTCCCCAGGGTCGGCCTCGGAAACTCCCGGCAGCCCCAGCCATCGCTGCTCAGCATGGCGGTTACACTACCTCAACCGCCTCTTTTTGTCTAAGCCAAGCCCAAGCGTCATTGGCTAAAGCCTGGAAGCCGGTTCCTGCCAGCCAATCAACTGAGGGGTTGAAACAGGGCTTTGCGCATGCGTTCAGACCTGGGTTGCAGCAACGACTAGCGCTAGCCTCCAGCAGAGGGCCCCCTTGTGTATGTAGCTTTGTCACTTGCTGCAGAATGTGTTTCTGTAATTGGAAACTCCATGAGGGCAGGGTAGTATCTGCTCTTTAAAATGTTGATCCTGGGCCGGGGATTTAGCTCAGTGGTGCCGCAGCCTGCTTCATAAGCGCAATGGTCCAGAGTTCAACCTCCGGTACCCCACCCCCTCAAAAAAAGAAAATGTCGACCCTCAGGGACTAAGACATAGTCATCACATATTTGGTTAATAAAAATAGATGAGGAATACACATCCCTAAGATAAGTCAAGCTTTTTAAATCCTTGTTTTGGGGGCCTGGGAATGTAGCTAGGCTCTGGAGTACTTACCTAGCATGCATGTAAACACTAGGTTTGATCCTTAGTATTGCAGAAGGGTTTTTTTTTAAAGACAATAACAATAACTCATAAAGTTTTTGTGGTAATGAAAAGCTTAGGTCATTACCCACTATATATTAAGTGCACAACAAATATTTAGATTACTGCTAGTGACCTGCTGGAACTGGATAGTTAAATCAAGTAATTTTTTTTTTTTACTGGCTTTTGAACTTGATCTTGATCTTTTATTTGTATGGGATGCTTTTGCTCTTTGTGTAGGATCCTTTTTTACATATAAAAATAATTTTTTTGTTTGTTTTTGGTACTGGGGATCGAACTCGGGACCTTGTACTTGCGAGGCAGGTGGCAGAACCACTGAGCTAAATCCCAGGCTAAAAGTAATTTTTTGCAAGATTTATAACCAAGTTATATCACCAGCACAGTAAAGAAGTGGTTAAAAGCTTTGGAGTTCAACAAAAATTTGTACTCTGGCTCTGCAACTCACTGTTCTGTGTGCACTTGGGCAAGACAGTTTTCTCATCTGCAAAAGGGGGTGCCAGTATTATAGACAGCTAAGTTAGAAATTAAAAGACAGAGAGGGATTGAGTCCTTGAGGAAGTCAGCACAGAAGATGAGACACACAAAGATTGTAGCTGGAGAGGAATCTAAAGAGCCAGGCCTGCAGACCTCCCTAGAGAGAAACAGCAGCTTCAGACTATACTGTAATCACACACCACCAGGTCCAGTGAGCTGGGAAAGGCATCAGATGTGTAGGTGAGTGACCAAAACATTTGGATGCATCCCTTTCCAAGAAAGCTTTTGTTCTTTCCCTATACCTTTGTTATGTGACTCATTTTCCTATTAGGTCAATATTAGCTAGGTGACTACATTTGGGTTTTTTTTTTAAGAGTAGGAAAAATTTACTGAAAGCTTGTCTAAGAGAGACAGAAGAGGGACCAGAAAGTGGGTTGCCACTTGACTTGTAATCCTATACATTGATTGTAGCTTGACCCACATCTTACCCACGCTGTGATTTTGCTGTATAAATTATCCCTGTCAAAGAGCCTCATGGTAACCCACTCAGGACCCCTCCTGGAAATCCTGGAGCTTTCTAAACTTCTAAATAAAACTTTCTAAACTTTCTTTGGTTCACGACTTCCTTCCTTGTTGCTGTGAGGCCACAAGCTCAGCAGATGTGACATCTGATAGGTTATTTTTATATCACCAGCATATCTAATATGCAACTTGAAAATTAAATGAAACAGCCTGTGTGAAATGTCTGATGCGATGCCTCAATTATAATATTAACTATTACCTTTCGGGTAATGTAGGCCCTGATGTGCTTTAACTACTATTACATCATTTCTTCAAATTCAAGAAGGTCTGACAAGGACAAGTGTATCCATGAAAACATGAGAATTTGACCTATAATTCCAGCACTCTGGGAGGCTAAGGCAAGAGGATCACATATTTGAGCCCACCCCCTGGGCAACTTAG